TTTTAATAGTTATCTGAATCTTACCTTGTGATTGTCTCTTACTCTTGTCACAGAATGGTAAATGATACTTAAATACAATCTCCTTACTTAAATATAAAAAGTATGATTGTCATTTACTATTCTTTTATGAAAGTTACTGGTGAATATTCTTATCCTATTTTATTTTAAGAAGTGGCCATTTTTTTTTTTTTATTTTTCCAACTAATTCTGCTCCCTCTTGAGACATACTGTTAAACCCCATGGAAATCATTCTTCAATTTTTCTAGCAAGAAAGTTCTTGCTTTTATAGAATAGTGGCTACATACTCCATGGCCTCCATGGAGTAAGTGAAGCACTAATAAGAAAGGAGAAACCCACCTGGATTGAGGAATATTAGATTTATATTGACATTTTTGATGCATTTCAGCATCAATTAGTAGGAACTGTCAAACCAAGGTTCAATCTGTTAACAAGTTTCAAGGATAAATATTGCTGAATGTTGGTAGTCATTAGTCTTCTGTGTGTGCTGTGCCATTTCTCACAATCCCTTACCATTTTAGTATCCTCCTGTTGCCATAACAATATACTTTCTATATTAAACAACAGGGCTCTTATTAATTAGGATATTTAAAAATTTTTGTTCTACACAATCAAATGATATTTAGGGACATGTATAACTGAACTTTAGGAATATGTGGAGTGCAGGCAGGGCATTTGCTGCCCACTCCTCACCTGATCTTCATTCTTGTTGGCACATTTTTTCTTTAGAAGACTGGCTCTATCCCAAGGCATAGAATCTGGTCTTTGACTGCTACAGACTTCTACTTATAGCCTAGCCATCAGAAAGAGACACCAGCTACCTTCAAAAATCTCTTGGAAGGGACTGGAGATGTGGCTCAAGCAGTAAAGTGTCTGCTTTGCAAGGGTGAAACCCTGAACCCCAGTTCCACCAAAAAAATAAAAATCCATGGAAGAGTTCTCATTGGTTTATTTGCTGATATGAATAAACTTACATCTTTTTCTAGTTTATGCAAAGAACTTATATTACCAGTGTAACCACTACAATTTGAATGTAAAATATTGCCAATACAATTAGATACTACCTGAGGTAGACCAGCTGATCACAGATCACACAAACTAGTCCCCAAAGCAATACACAAATTTCTATTTATTTATTTATTTATTGAGGTGTTGGGGTTTGAACTCAGGGCCTACACCTTGAGCCACTCCATCAGCCCTTTTTTTGTGAAGGGTTTTATTGAGATAGGGTCTGGAAAACTATTTTCCATGATCCTCCTGATCTCTGCTTCCTGAGTAGCTAGGATTACAGGCATGGTCCACCAGCACTCAGCATCAATACTGTCACACAAACACACACAAAAATATTTTCTTCTCCTTCATTTCTCTCCTCTGAAGATCCTGCTCCCCAATCCCAGGAGTTTATATAACCAATCCTAGTCTCTGTTGGCCATGACTGTATCTTGCTGTCTCACTCACATTTTCTTTATTCTCAATAGTTGTGACTCAATCTCCCTCTTAAATCCTGCAACTGTTCAAGGTAACACATGCACACAAAGCCACCATTTCTGAAACACCCTACTCTCCATTTCTTCCAGATTGGCAGGAAGTGAGGAGGTTTCTAATCTCTGCCAAATCCCAGAATCATCTTCTACCTCTCCACTTTACCATTCCCTTCCATCACACCCATTTCCACATTCTGACCCAGAAAAAGTGACAATTCTTTCAAGGGAATACTAACTCCTTTTCTCACATCAACATTTTATATTGGTTCATCTAACCACAATTTCCTTCTTCAGGGGCTGTTTCATACTGCAACAGAAATTAAAGAAAAAAATAGCTGCAACCATTATTTGCAGTTTGAAATAATACAGTTTTCCTAGAAAGCTGTTCATGAAGTGCTGTGAGCTCTGCCTATCATGGAAAATATGATAGGCATATTTAAGTTGAGGGAGAGTTAAGTTGAGGGAGAGTTGTTTAAGAAATGATATTCATCTGCTTTTTTATTATGAAATGTCTCATCAGGAGTATAGATGCCACAAACTGGTGATACCATGGGGATACAAGGAAAAAGAAACAAGCAACTCTCTGGTAATTGGGTGGGCTCCGCAAGGCTAGGATAGCACCAATGCTTAACTTACTGGGTGAGCCCATAGAAACAGGGCTGGAAGGACTGGGTGCAGGGGCAGGCTAGACAGTAGGAAAGAGAGGAAATTCCCAAGGCCAAATGACCGGCTGGAATACCGTGCACCACAAATACCAATGGCTATCAATAATGGCTACCTTAAGAAGCCCTGCATTGCTCTCCTTTATTCCCAAAGTGTTTGTAAAATTTGTCTAACAATACCAGGGTGCTGGTGGTTTACACCTGCAATCCTGCTACTCAGGAGGCAGAGATCTGGAGGATCATGGTTTGAAGCCAGCTGGGCCAATAGTTCTGGAGACCCTATCTTGAAAATACCCAACATAAAACAGGGCTGGCAGAGTGACTCAAGTGGTAGAGTGCATGCCTAGCAAGTGTGAAGCCCTTAGTTCAAACTCCAGTATTGTCAAAAAAAAAAAATCCCTGTATAACAATAACCTTAGTGTGAGGCTTGGGGAGCAAAATGGGAGTAAATCAGGTTCAGGAAGAAAGTATTTGACCTCTTTGGGATGTTTCAAATTCTGACATACTACAGAGGGGTAAGGATAGGTCACTACTGTTAAAAATGTTAATACTTTTTCTAAAGAAAGAATCAGGAGGAGAGAACAAAGCAAAGAGATCACTGGCAAGAAATGTTGACTAAACCAGCTTTCTAAAGATTTAAACATGTGGCCTATTTTTTTCTCTTTCAGGTATTTCCAATATTCATATCTAGGGTCTGTCTTCAAATGTAAAGAAAAGCACCTTTGAACAACCAAAGCACTACAGATTCTTTTCTATGTATCCAGAATGTTTTCCAACTTTACAAAATTGTTCATGTTACAATGTATCCAGTACAATGTGTCTTCCAGTGTTAACTAGAAATCATGAGTCCAAATAATAGGCCATTTCTTTTAGATTTAATGTGTGATACTCAGTAAGTCAGCTAGCACAAATTTTAGAAAATCAGTTGTGAATTATCTACTTAAACTATAATTAACTCTCACCTTAATACATTTTAGAAGATACTTAGGATTTTCTGTTATTTGCAAAAATAAAATTATTTATTAGCTACTGAACAAACTCTTTATCAGAAATTGCTTATTTTTAATCAGAAAATAGCTTACTGTTTTAGTAATTTATTTTAAGGTTTGGTTTTTTAATGCATAATTTAATTCACAAAGTTCTTCAGAACTTTTTATTCTTTTTTAGTTATTTCCAAAAAGTTAAATAAGTTTTGATATACACCAAAGAAATATCATGTCTTTTTTTAAACTATACACTTGATAATATAAATTTAACAACATACTGTATTGTATTGCTGGTAAATTAAGTAAGCAAGATATCATACCATTTGATATCTTGATAAAGGCTATATGGTATATTTCCAGAAACTGAAAAAGTGAAAGAATAAGGACTAGGTAAACAAATAGTAAGTCAAGTGATTTTCAATTCTTTGCTGTTAATAAAATTGAGGGAGGGCCTAATTGAACAGTTTATAAATGATCAAATCTAATTTTTTGAGGTTGAGAATTAGATGACCTATGACAAAATTCATTCCCAAGTACAGCAGTACAGTTATAACAATTAGAAACATGAACAGATGCTCACTCTTCTAGCAATAAGACATAATCATCCCTCAATGCATGATTTTTTTAAAAAGGAACAATATCCAGCCAGATGGCTCACATCTGTAATCCTAGCTACTTGAGAAGCTGAGATCAGGAGGACAGCAGTTGAGGTCAGCCGTGGGCAAAGAATTCTATAAATCTCATCTCCAAAATAACCAGAGTTTAAGGGCTGATGAAGTGGCTCAAGTGGTTGAGTGCCTGCCTAGCAAGCCCTAAGTTCAAACCCCAGTGCTACCACAAAATATCCAGACCAAAAGAGACTGGAGGTGTGACTCAAGCGGTAGAGTGCCTGCTTTGTAAGCAAGCAGCTAAGTTCAAACCCCAATACCACCAAAAAAGAAAATCTATATATAAACGAAAATATACACATATATATATATGAAAAAATATATTACCAAGATGCTTTTTCCAATAAAATTTACATCCTATTTAATAACTACAAATATTTGTAACATTTATATTGCTTTGATCGGGTACTACTAGTAATTTTAAAGATAACCAAGTCCAAAATCAGTCGATTTGCTGGCTGTGTACACTTGCACAATGTGCTTAAACCTCTCTGAGCCCGTTCACTGATTTGCAAATTAGCGATGGTAGTAGGACCTCTTAGTGTTTTTCCAGAAAGCATTGACGCACGTAAAAACATGCTTGTTCCACAAACTTTACCTGTTGCTATGGTAATCAATAGCCAAGCCCTTATAACCAAAAGCCGGCTTGTCTTCACAGACCGGCAAAGGGGACCGAAGGCATGGAGATTTAGTCGCAGGCACACTCGGAGAGCAACAAGCAGTGCCAAAGGGAAAATGGGATGTGTGGGAGCAGGGGACACCCGAGCCACCTGCTGAGCAGGAAAGAGGGCAGGAGGACACACTAAGAACGCAGAGGCTTGAGGAGTTGGGACCGCAGGTTCACGCACGGACCTGCATGGTCAATATCTCCGGGTCTCTCCTGCTCTGTCAAACAGGAGCAAGGGCTTCGGGACTGAACGCCATGGCGGATAGAACCCGGCCAACGCCTCACTTTCGGCTGGTGCCTGCTGTGAGAAGCGTTCATGGCCGTGGAGCCCCGGAGTCCCCGCAGCACTGCCCGCGGCGCACTCAGCCTGGGCGCCGCCGCTTCCGGCGCAGCCAATCTTCGCCAGAGTACCCGACCGGAACTGGCCCCTCGCGGCCTCCGTAACCAGACCTTCGTTGCTATTGTCACTCCCTTTTTCTTCCTTCCCTCAGTTCCCTTTCACTTCCGGGGTTGCTCTGGGTTCGCTGGTTCCGTGACAACATCCCGTTGGCTTACCTCAGGCGGCGGGACCTGTGTAGCCGCCGCCTCCCAGGAGCGCCCGCCCGCCCGGGTCCGCGCGCTCCCCGACCCAGGCCACCATGGCCACCAACCCGCAGCCGCAGCCGCCACCTCCGGCGCCGCCGCCTCCTCCTCCGCAGCCACAGCCACCACCGCCGCCGCCCGGCCCGGGAGCTGGTCCCGGCGCGGGCGGGGCGGGCGGCGCGGGGACAGGCGCTGGGGACCCGCAGCTCGTGGCCATGATCGTGAACCACCTCAAGAGCCAGGGGCTCTTCGACCAGTTCCGCAGGGACTGCCTAGCCGACGTGGACACCAAGGTTCGGGGCGCGCGGGGCTGGGGGTCGGGGACCGGGAAGACCCCGAAGGCCATCTTCTCGGTCGCCGTGTCCCGCATCCGTCCGTGGGGCAGCGGCGCGTACCCGCTCCCAAGCTCTCTTGAGGGCGCCTCCCGCCGAGTTCCTTTTGCAACAGCTTCCCCTTCTTGATGTGCAGTTGTGTGCCACGCACTGTGCAAGGCATGCCGTGTTCATTCATTCTCTCGTGCTTGCGTTCGTTTAACCGACCAGTGTTGGTTAAGTGCCTGGCACTGCTTGGGCTTTGAATTACACCGGCTGGTTGAGCGGCTCCCATTGCTGTTAACGGGAGATCGGTTTGGAGGCACTAAGGCTAACAAGTGCTCAGTTTTGGGTTCACTCTTTTCATTCTTCTCTCTCTGATGATTTGTCCTTTGGTTTACTTTGTATCCAAATTCTGTTTTGTTTTTGCTTTCTTGAAGTTTCCTGAATTTTTTGGGACCATGTTTTTGTCTTTTGGAAGAATCATTCTGTGATAATTGAATCGAGTTATTTGCAATTTGTTTTGCTGGATACTGAGGGATGGAGGAGGTACAACGAACGATAAGAAGACAAATCTGGGCAGCAAAGAGGTGACTGGGGAGATGAGCAAACTGCTTGATTTAGGTACCTAGGCTAAATCATTTTTCTAAGGGGTGAAAAAAAGGGGTGGGAAGAGAGAACAAAAGGTGTTCAGCAAATACTGAACTGAAGGAAGAGTTGAGTTTAAGAAAATAAGGGAGAGAACAAAAAGGTCAGGAAAAAGGTTTCCTGCCCCCAAAAGAGAGGCTAGAAAGGGGAGGGGGCTTTGTACCAAATGTCATAGTGACAGGGCATTAGCAGGAACAGGTAAACCTAGCTGTTTTGGCAAAGAATGAACAAAGGACACTGGGAAGGAGTCATCAGTGAGATAGATGAAAAACCAGAGTCTGGAGTTCTGAAAGCTGGTAAAGTGTTAATTGTGTTGAAAAATTGTTGGGGTTTATTTGTTTTGTTTTGTTTCTCTTTTGCTTTTGGCTTCTATCTAGGTATCTGTTGGTTTGGAGTTTTGATGGAGTGAGGGTTCATAGACTGCTTGACTGGTCCTAGGACCTTTGTGTCTTTAAAAAAGAAAAAGCGGGAGGAGGGGGGCGTTTACAGCAGCTGCAGAGTCTTCCTGGGATTTGAGGTGTCCTTTAGGAAAACCCTCCTGAAAATCTGAAGATAACTTCTGCCCTCTGTGGACCATGCTTTTCCAGGGCATTGAAGTTTTAGTACCACAGAGGATTGTTTACTTGGGGGCAAACTCTATCTACGAAACACAGTTTTCTTACTTTATTTTAGAGATTATGTGCAGCCAAAGTAATAACTACTGACTTTTACAATTATTTTTATGAGTAAAAATTGAGTGACCAGGTAAATGCTGCCCACATAGAGCTGGCTAGTTGTATCCAACAAGTGGAGGTGCATTTGCTGTTCTTAGAAACCTGTGAACCTTACCATTCTGTATTCACCTTGAACTTTTAATATACTGATTGAAAATGGGCTGCAATATCTAAGACTCAACTTTTTATTCATGTCATCCCAATTAAAAGTTGTTGCTCTGTAATATCGAGGCCCTTTAACTATACATTATTAAAACCTCCCCTGGGGAGAAGAGAAGTTTTGACAATGTATTAAAATCTAGGCCCTTCTCCCAAGAAAAATGCACATGAACCCATTAGAATGCTGTTTTAATAGAACAACATGATCAACTATAGGCAATTTCATCTGGTGTTTTCATAGACCACAGAATAAGCTTCCCTGTTTTAATGTTTGAGGCCAGAAAGAACAGAACTGAAATAATGCCATGCCTGGGTATAGTTGCTCAAAGTTTCCGTAATCAGCCTTTGTCTTCCTTCTCTCCACCTTGGCTTGTTTCCTCCTTTCTTTCCTACCCTTCTTTTCTTCTCCCTTAGCTAATAGTTGTGTTAGTGTTAATTTAAAATAGTCTTATTAAGTAGTGTTTTATATTCCTTTTTGTAATTTGAAAGAAAGAAAAAGTAAGAAAATTTCAGAAAAAGTGCAAAAGCTAAAGTTTTCTTCATAAGAACTTAACATTCATAACAATGTGATAAGTATACCGGCAGAGAAATAAGATTTCCTATTCTTGCAAATTATACCATTTTATAGAATCTTTGGGTCTCATCTGCCACTTAGGCATGGTGCTTTTGAAAACTGAACCTGAAAAACTGACCTATTTTCTGTCAGAAAGTCTTACCTGTAGTATACAGGGTTGAGGCAATAACTGGATTATATCAGTCACATACATATTTAAGAATCAAGACATTTGATACTTTCCAGGTGCTCTCTGAGAGCAAAACAGCCCAGCTGAATATGTCTAAACCAAGATAAAGAGTACCAAAGGGAGCTGCTACCCCAGGTCATAAAACATACCCCCACATAGCCCTGTGGTCACTAAGACTGTGATTTATAGCAGACCGAGCTGAATGTCCCCACATAAACTTGTGCCACAGATGCAGCTACTGCTAAGGTTTTTCCATTGTAGACTACCACTTACCAGATCTCAGAGGCAAGCCTCGTCATTTCAAAGCCATTGTGACTTTACATGGATTACCAACTGAACAGTGTGGATAGGGAAGATCAAGAGACCGATCATTCTGCACTAGACTGGGAGCTCACTGACCATGCAAATATGACCCCACTCTCTTCAAAAGATGAAGACTGATTTTTGGACACTATCTCAGTTATAAATGATTCCTGGTCAATTTATTCATCCATTGAGCAGCCCCTATGTACTAAGCCCCTATGTACTTAGGTATCAGTGGTACAGTGGTGAACCAAAAGTTCCCCTGTTACAGAGCTTATATCTAACAGAGAAAAACAGTCAATAATGTGTGATGGATCTATGGAAAAAATAAAGCAAGTGTGAGAAGGCTTACTCTTTTGTCTTGAGTCAATAGAGGGAAGGTTTCAGTAAGGCAATATTTGAACTATCCCTGAAGGAACTAAAGATGTGGCTGTATTCCAAGTACAGATCATGGAGAGTGAACACCTGAGAGTGAACACAGCAGAACATGCTGAGAGAGTGGGAAGTGCCCTTCCCTCCCTTCACAGATCTAGCAAGCCTTGGACACAATCTTGAGCTGAGAAGCATTAGCAGGTTTTCGGTGAAAGGACATGATCTGACTTGTATTTTAGATGGGGTGACCATAGATAATTATTAATAGTGTTCTCGTTTGTGCTCATTCATGATCTACTTTGGACTACCTTGGACAACAAATTGTATAGTACCCTAATTTTAGAGTACTAAACAGAGTCTGTACTCTGTTGGACCACAGACTTGAGGTAGGCAATTGTAGGCTATAATTCAGATAAGAGATGCAAATGCCTTGGACAAAAGTGATAACAGAAAAGGTAGTGGGAGGTAGTCAGGTTCTGAATGTATCCTGGTGCTGGTGATGGAATGGGCAAGTGGATGAGAACTTGGAAATAAGAAAAATTACCTATTAGGTAGCTCAAATTTGAACATGTTATGGGGAGACTAGAGTGCTAGATACATTGTGATATTTAAGTCTAATAAATATTTGTTAAAATGAAGAATTTTGCTTTAGTATCATTGGGGAGAAAGAATTAGTTTTAGTTTAATTCACATTGATTTTGGATAAATGAAGAGCAACATGAGAAATGATTGTGCATTTTTTTGTTGAGTAGAAAATTGACATCAGTCAAAGTCTGAAAATTGGAAATGATAAAAGAGCATCTCGTAGGAATAAAATCTTTATACTTCTGTGTTGGAGATACTTAGTTATCTAAGAACACTTTTAATTTCTTATCTGCCAAGTAGAATGTTAACCTGTTTGGAAACAAACATTATGGGGAGGGGAGCAGACTTATACTTCGGTGGGGAGAAGAATCTCTCCCCTTCACCAAAATATAATGCAATTGCAAGAATTGTTCATCGAACCTGTGATAAGCTCTAAAGGATAGAAGCTTGCCAGGTGGACAAGTAAAGGGAATGGTAGGTGTATGAGAATTTCTGCTGGAGTATAAACCTTGAAAGGTAAAGAGAGAAAAATGTACTGTTTTGCTTAAAACCATTCCGGGACACTCAGATTCATCTACATTCAAAGCCACATAAAGGAAAAATAAACAACATGATGTGGTTGGTGGTGTGGACCTCTAGCTACTGTGTGCAGTTCTAAGTGAGTGTTCACATATTCCTTCTAGGCAAGTCCTTTTAAGTAGAATTGACTTAATACATGTTTTCTCTCTCTGTTCCTCCATATCAGAGGTTCATAGCCTTAGCTGTCTGTGTTTTAGGTTGGATAGTTCTTGCTGTGGGAAGGTTGTGGTGTGCACTGTAGACTGTTCAAGTGTCTGTGCTCTCTACTCCTAGGTGCCAATAGCACCTCCGTCCTTTGCAACAACCAAAAATATTTCAAACATTGCCTAATGCCTCCCTAGGGGAAGGGAGGTTGAAATCACACCTGCTTGAGAACCATTGCCTTACATCAGATTTTATGCATAGTTCAAGTGCTTCATCCCACAGTAATTTCTCTCGAATTCATGTTTCAGTCCATTTTTACCACCCAGTACATCGTGTTTAGTTTTTGCATGCATTTCCAAGTATGTTTTGTCTTTACGTTCAGCTATCATATCACTATGTGAAGTGGTTTCCCATTCTGGACTCAATTTTAGACATTTTGTATAAGTACCCAAAGCTTTTCAGCACCTGGCCCCCAATCTATGTGTCCAACCTATTTATCTGCTTTTTGTATTGTTTTCTCCAACCAGTTAGACTACCAGTTTGTGAATTTCCCCCAAATACTTCTGACCCTACATTTTCTCATCCAGCTGAGAGAGCCATTGTCAATGCCAGCTACATTGTGCAATTTTGAAACTCTTTTTTCCAGCTCAAATGCAACATTGTCTAATGAAGCCTTACTTCTGCTTTTCAGCCTTTCTTTGTTTCAAATCATCTAATATTAACATTTACTTCTTTCTTATTTTCTAATTCTTTGTACAAATAAAACATTTTTCATTCTTCTGTGTCTTCCTGTGTTTCTAGACACCTTGTTGTAGATAAAATGAGCAGCCCTTAAATGAGACGCACTCATTATAAGCAGAATCTTCTGTGCTGTAAAACTTTGTTGTTACTTTAAGAAAACTTAAGACTGTTAAAGATACTCAGATTCCTGTAACTGATACTGTTATTATGTTATGCTAGAGATTTTTAGCACTTACATTTGTTTTTCTTTCTAGCCTGCATATCAGAATCTGAGACAACGTGTTGACAACTTTGTTGCAAACCACTTGGCAACTCATACATGGAGTCCCCATCTCAATAAGAACCAGCTAAGAAACAATATTCGACAACAAGTACTCAAGTAAGTCTCAGAATCAATTCCTAGGTAAGCTTTAAAATGTCTGAAAGTAAAAACATTGCAGTGAATTGCCTAATGGTGTTGGCATTTTAGCAGGTTTGATGTGACGGCAGTATAATTTTGGAGTGTGGCCTAATAACTTCGGGTTTCTCCCACAGATCTTAACAGTCTTTTTTTCCTTCTCAAGAATAATGGAAATTATTCTTTAGAATAAAGAATGGAAGGAAGGATGGAAATAAAATGATTAAAAAGCCATAATCTATATAGTCATAGCTATTTTCTTGACCATAAGAGATCTGGCCTTACTATTCTTGTTTTTACAAGTGAAAACACAAAGATCACTGAAATTAAAATTTCTCCCTTCATTTGAGGCCATATCATCTACTATGTCCCTCCTTTTGTTTTTTGCATTTTACTGACTTTTAACTCTACTATTTAGTGATGATATAAGCCAAAAACACTATGTTTAGAGCTGTCAGAGTCATTTTGAGTGAACGTAAGAAAAAAAAGAATGAGAATTAGAATGTTTTAAAATGTCCTGAAAAAATCATATTTACTCCCAAGAAATTTTTATTTACAATCTTTGACTTATTTTCGATTATAAATATTTGCAAGACAAAAAGGCCTTCTATCCCAGCCATACTCCCAAAAAGGATAAATTATTTAAAGAACACCTAGTCTTCCTTCCTTGACAAATATTTATATTCAAGCACATTTTTGAAAATGAAATGTGACTTTCAAACAACTAAACAATCTGTTTTATAGCTGCCACCTCATAATTTCCTGTTGTCAGATGGGAACCGTAAGCCTATCTGGTGTAATAGTTTCCAGCCACAGGAAGCCTCAGAAATAAAAATTCACACCTTAAAAGATCCATTTAGCCCCAGGTAATACTAGAAACCAGGAACATGGGGGCTTGGACTGTGTCTCCTTGTAAATGAAAGGGAAATTTACAATAATAGCTTTGTCTTCTACATTTTAAAGGATGTTTGAGGACCCTGTAAAAGAGTCCAGGTAAGATCAAAAGATGCCATTAGAAGGCTGCATAATACCACCTGTTGGGAAAAAGTGAAAGCCATTTCTGGAAGAAGAGACTGGAAGAGGTCTTTTGGTTGACAGGCCTAGAGTGCTACTCATTTGCACAAATTCAGGAGAATTATAATCAAGATAGCACCAGAAAGGGAGAAGAGAGGACAGGGTTACTGGCATTACTTCCTTCCCACAGACACGGACATTTACATGGAAACTCTAGTAACCGTATAGTGCTTTCATTCAGCACTTTCCCTAGCTGCCTCCTTTTCACAAGTGATTGCATTGCTTTTTAAGCATGGGGTCTTTTTGCATGGCGGAAGGATATGGGCAGTACTGGGGTTTGAACTCAGGTTCTCACTCTTGCTAGGCAGGCACTGTACCACTTGGGCCACTCCACCAGCCCTAAAAGCATGTTTTGAAGGGCCTTTCTCCCTCCCCTTCTTCCTTCCTTCTTCCTTTTCCTCCTTTCCTTCCCTCCCTTTTCTTCAGTGCCAGGATTTGAATCCAGAGCCTTGCACATGCTATTGTATCCTGCCATTGAACTTCAAACCCGCCCCCCATCCAGAATGTTTTGTGGGGTTTTTTTGCTTTTTTTTTGCAGCCCTGGGGAGTGAACTTAGGTCTTTGCACTTTCTGTGAATGTACTCTGTCACTTGAACCATGCCGCTAGCTCTTTTTTCTTTAGTTATTTTTCAGATGGGGTCTTGTTCTTTTGCCTGGCCAAAGAAGCAATCCTCCTACCATGCCTTCCTCCCAAGTAGCTGGGATTACAGATGTGTACCACCATGCCCCTTGTTGGTTGAGATGAGATCACTAACTTTTTGTCCAGCTGTCCTGGAATTAATGATCATCTCAGTCTCTGCTTCCCAAGTAGCTGAGATTGTAGGAGTGTGCCAACAAACCTAGCCATAGCGGTCATGCAAAATCTATAACATAAGGAAGCATTCATTTATTTTTGTTTAGGAGAACTAAACTCAGTCTTGCACATGTAAAACTTAAGCACTTAAAATATTCGTTGTACCAAAAAAGACATTGTTATCAAAAAATATGTTTGGTGAGGGGTAAGGAAGTACTGAAGACATCACTGTTGGTGAGGCATCTATAAATTTTCTTCTAGCTATGTTATTATTTTTAAATATTTTCATTTCAATTTGTAAATGTTCATGTAACTGATAAGAACAGTTAAGGTTTCCGTACAGTTCCAGATATGGTGGTATAAGCCTGTAATCTCAGCATTTCAAATACAGAGGCAGAAAGATCATGAGTTTAAGGCCAGCCTGAGCTACATAATGTCTCAAAAATACCAAAGAAAAAAGAAAAGCTTGAAAAGAGATTATATAGTTGTGGGTAGACTGATAGTGTAGGGTGGACCAGCCCTCTATGAATAAATATAATTTCAAACAGTTTTTCTTATATATTCTTTGAGAAATATTTTGTGGGCTCAGGTTGAGTCATCTGAAATTGCTGTCTAGTGTCCACAGTTTCAGAAGTTTCAACTTATTATCTTATCTCAGCAGTAGGGAAAATTTTATTCTATTCTGGCATACATTTGTACTACAGAATCTGAACATCCTAGATAGATTTGAGTAATGATGTTAACTGGACAGAATTTATAAGGAAGACAAGGGGGAAAGAGGAAAATTCCTGTTGCCAGCATTTTGGCTTTGTCCTTAAACCTAGGGATGAGATTTCTCCCTACTGTGGTGAGGCAGATATGGCCATGTCCTAAGGCACGGACGGAGCCCACGAAGAGCAGTATGATCACTAGCACTGGACTCCATTTTTATGTATGATCAGAGTTGACCTCCATGTGAGAGAAGACTAGAGTAGAAGTATTCTGTTTGTTTGCAGGATTAGAGTCCAGACATAGACGAACAGAGAAGAAGCAATATTTTTAGGGTGGGTGGGTCATATTTTTTATTTTATGCCTTTGTACTTAATGTCTTAATTCAAAATTTTTCTTTATTTTTTTTCTACCTTCCAGATTTTAAAGACAGTGTTTGCAGGATTTGCACTTTTTTTTCAAAATCTTAGACCTTTAAAAGGCAAGGAACCTACTTTGTGCCATGGTGGCTCATTTATCTCTGTGGCCCACATAAGTAGAAATGTATCACAGCGTGGCAGGGTGCCTCAGGAAATGAAAGACCAATCCACCCTTCACTCCAGACAGAACCACACTCAGAAATAGCATCTGTAGAGTGTAGGAACAACATCTCCGTACTCATTCTGTACAGAGAGACTGAGACCTAAAAGGTGGAAATGACTGGCTCTTCCATCTCCCAGCACTATCAGCCTATATTTCTTTTTTAGTAAAAAAAGTGTGTTTCTTAAAATAAATTCATGTTCTCTTATTTTGCTCAAATGCCATTGAATGAAAGCACTTTTTTTGTCAGTACCAGAATTTTGAGCTCAGACCTTGTGCTTGCTAAGCAAATGCTCTGCCACTTGAGCCATGCCTCCAGCCCAAGAAACACATTTTATTTTATTTTTTTTTTAAGTTTTTTTTTTTATTCATATGTGCATACAAGGCTTGGTTCATTTCTCCCCCCTGCCCCCACCCCCTCCCTTACCACCCACTCCGCCCCCTCCTCTCCCCCCCTCAATACCCAGCAGAAACTATTTTGCCCTTATCTCTAATTTTGTTGTAGAGAGAGTATAAGCAATAATAGGAAGGAACAAGGGTTTTTGCTGGTTGAGATAAGGATAGCTATACAGGGCATTGACTCACATTGATTTCCTGTGCGTGGGTGTTACCTTCTAGGTTAATTCTTTTTGATCTAACCTTTTCTCTAGTTCCTGGTCCCCTTCTCCAATTGGCCTCAGTTGCTTTAAAGTATCTGCTTTAGTTTCTCTGCGTTAAGGGCAACAAATGCTAGCTAATTTTTTTGATGTCTTACCTATCCTCACCCCTCCCTTGTGTGCTCTCGCTTTTATCATGTGCTCATAGTCCAATCCCCTTGTTGTGTTTGCCCTTGATCTAATGTCCACATATGAGGGAGAACATACGATTTTTGGTCTTTTGAGCCAGGCTAACCTCACTCAGAATGATGTTCTCCAATTCCATCCATTTACCAGTGAATGATAACATTTCGTTCTTCTTCATGGCTGCATAGAATTCCATTGTGTACCGATACACATTTTCTTGATCCATTCGTCAGTGGTGGGGCATCTTGGCTGTTTCCATAACTTGGCTATTTTGAATAGTGCCGTAATAAACATGGATGTGCAGGTGCCTCTGGAGTAACAGTCTTTTGGGTATATCTGCAAGAGTGGTATTGCTGGATCAAATGGTAGATCAATGTCCAGCTTTTTAAGTAGCCTCCAAATTTTTTTCCAGAGTGGTTGTACTAGTCTACATTCCCACCAACAGTGTAAGAGGGTTCCTTTTTCCCCGCATCCTCGCCAACACCTGTTGTTGGTGGTGTTGCTGATGATGGCTATTCTGACAGGGGTGAGGTGGAATCTTGGCGTAGCAAGAAACACATTTTAGATGTTGTCCCCTATCACTCCTCCTTCTGCTGTCTATGATACTTCTTTAACCTGGAGAACCATTCCTCCCTTCTCTTCTATGGAAATCAAGACTCAGCTCAAATGTCTTCTTTACAGAACATTCTCAAATGATGTTGGACACACTTGACAATTCCTTACTCCTCTCTTTCCTAAGCACATGGTGTGTGCTTGTACCTAGCATCATGTATTTAGTTATCTGCATCTGTCTTCCTAACCACAACAGGGACCAGGTCTGCTTTATAGCTGTGTGGTGCTCAGCATGGCTACTGTTAGGTGGAAGATACTCACAATTGTCAAGTGAATAAATCACCCAGTTTTTATAGCATAAAAATAATAAAAAGAAAGCCAGAAGTCTTGAGTTTTATTTTTGTCTGCCTAAAGTTTTCTTTTTTCCTTTTTTTCAATTTGATAAAATCATACTTTGTATGTGTTCTTCACTTTTCCTGAAGTCTATTACTTACTAAAGGCTTATGTGTTTCTGGTTGGGCTTTTTTTTTTTTTAAGAGAGTAAAGTGGAGGGTCCATAGATTTATTTTAGACTGAAAACTCAGCTCTAGCACTTGTTGATTCCTGTATGTCGTTGGCAGGGTGGGAAGTGAGAAATGTATCACCCAGATTCCTGCCTTCTAGTACTATGGCTACTTGTTTTTTGTTTGTTTTCTTGCAGTGCTAGGATTGAACCAAGGGCCTTGTACATGCTAGGCAAGCACTCTACTATTGAGCTACATCCCCAGCTCAGTTCTAATGGTGTTTTGTCTGTTTTAGTTTTTCCATGGTGGGAAGTTTGCAAACTCTTTTTGTAATATAGTTAACCTAAATACACTATAGCATGGATCTTATTTTCCATTGCCTACCCTTTCTATAAATCCAGATAAATGGGTTGGGGCCATTTAAGACAGAATATACATATAATAGATATGTTTTCATTTTAAAATAATTAATGCAAGTAATATAAAATTGTTTTGTTACCTTTGTGTAAACTATCCTGTGTTTCAGATCAGGAATGCTGGAGTCTGGTATCGACCGAATTATTTCTCAGGTTGTGGATCCAAAGATCAACCACACATTCAGACCTCAGGTGGAGAAAGCTGTGCATGAGTTTTTGGCCACACTAAATCACAAAGAGGAAGCAAGTGGCAGCACAGCTCCTGATGATGAGAAGCCAGACTCTTCCATCATTCCCCAAGGTGCTGTGCTTTTGACTCTTGGCCAGTTCCATTGCTTTTCTTCTTGAACCAAGTATCAAGTTAGGTGTACTTGGTTCATTAAGGCATTTCTCTATTTTGCTACTCTAGTGAAATTATATTTACTTTAAATATCACCCAAATTCCTCAACTAACATAACACTTCTTTTTTTTTTAGATTAATATAGTATTTTAGAAATGTCTGATATGTGTGTGCCATGATAGAGGGAAAACTAAAATAATTAGAAAAGACATTCTTTTGAGACGTAGTCTGTTCTCAGATTTGCTGGTGCCCTTCCTGAGTGCTCAGGAAGTAGAGAATTCTGGATACATATACCAGCACTGGTACCTGAAAGCCTATAGGAACACAAATGTTCTGCACAGACAATGGCATGTGGCATGTGGCATTGACTCAGCAGAGGTATTTACCTTCTGCATAAATTTATTCTAAAATGTATCTTTTTCTCTAAGGTGTCCCTGCTCCTGGGCCTAGTGCTAATGTAGCCAGTGATGCCATGTCAATCTTGGAAACCATAACATCTCTTAACCAGGAAGCTAATGCTGCCAGGGCTTCAACAGAAGTTTCAAGTGCCAAGACCAGTGAGAGAGTAGCAAAAAAACTCTCATCTCAGTCAAACGCTGAGATTAGCACTGACAAAGAGAGAACTTCGGAAGACATGGCTGATAAAGAAAAAGCTACACCTGACTCCGGTGGGGAAGCAGTGGAAACTGCCCTGAAATCTGAAGAACTTAGTGATCTCCCTTGCGCAGTTGAAGAAATTAAAAATCACACAAAAGAGAATAATAGTTTAGTTCTGCTAAATAAGGACATCCAACAGGAGAGCAGTGACCAAAAAAACAAATCAACAGACAAAGTTGAAAAGAAGCCAGACAACAGTGAAAAAGGAGAAAGAAAGAAAGAAAAGAAGGAAAAGACTGAGAAGAAGTGTGATCACCCCAAAAGGAGTGAAGATACACAAAAAGTAAAAGATGACAAACAAGCAAAGGACAAAGAAGTAGAGAGTTCAAAACTTCCTTCAGAAAAGAACAGTAAGGCTAAAACCATTGAAGGGACAAAAGAAGGTACATTAAAAACTTGCAAAAATCTACAGCAGTTTAAAGAATAAAGAGTACCTATTTAGGGAAGAGGGAAAGTATCAAATTTAGCTTCAAATTTTAATTACTTTTAATACTTTTATTTCAACACTCTAAAAACTTATATTTTTCCTAAATAAAAATAATCTGGGCATGGTATGGTGGTGTAAACCTGTAACCCCAGCACTTGAGAAGCTGAGGCATGAGGACCTCAGATTCAAATTTGAGGCCAGCCTGGGCTACCTATCAAAGCACTGTTTTAATAAAAGAAAAACCAGGCTGAGCACAGTGTCTAATACCTGTAAGGTACTTGGGAAGCAGAGGTAGGAGGGTTGCAGGTCGAGGCCAGTCTGGGCAAAAAAAAAAGTTAGAAGACCCTATCTCAAAGAACAAGTGAGCATAAGAAGCACAGAATATTGCAGTCCAAAGCTGGCCTGGACAAAAGCCTGAGACTATCTGAAAAATAAATAAAAGTGGCTTTTACCAAAGTGGCTTTGGTATAGCTCAAATGGTAGAGTACATAGGAAGTGTAAGGCCCTGAGTTTAAAAACTCAAAACTACCCCCCAAAAGCAATAAAAATTTGTATATTTCTTTTCTATAGGGATATATCTTTTCACAGAGAATGTTAACAGAGAAACCATAAACTTTGTAATTTGTCTTGTAACTTATTCACACATACTATTCAAGCAACTTAAGTTGTATATTCTGATCCTTAAAATATTAGGTAGGAAATAATCTTTGTTACTTTCTTTTGTATATATTATTTGTATTGTAAGTTAACAGGTTAGTTATTTAACAGGATACTAGTTTGCCTTTGTATTATTTCATGGAAACAACTCTACCTTATTTGATAATTTAATTTCTTTGAGGTATGTTTAAAGCAGAAAGTTTTCAGTCTAATTTAGGAGCTGGGTTTTGAATATGTTCTTGGAACAAGGTGATTTATTTTTCTACTGTATTTTCTTCTTGAAGATTGCTGTTTGATAGATTCTGATGTGGATGGACTTACAGACATTACAGTTAGCTCCGTCCATACCAGTGACCTTTCATCTTTTGAAGAAGATACTGAGGAGGAAGTTGTAATGTCTGATAGCATGGAAGAAGGAGAGATTAATTCAGACGGTAAAGCATTTTACTTAGCAATGCTGCTGTGAAGCCTCTGTCGAACATTGTTTATGTATTCTGATGGTTGCATCCTGAGGGACAGTGTGCTATGGTGGCAAGAACATGAGACTCTAGTTGTAAGATTTGTTTCTGAGTCCCAGCTCCAGGGTTGTCCAAGCAAGCTTGGTAAATTAATAACCCTCAACAAGCTTTGGTTCTCTATCTCTTGACTCCATCGCCTGGGATGATTATAAGAATTAGATGAGGATATATATGAAGATGCTTTTTGTTTATGTGTATGTGACATTTGGAGGAAGGACCATCCACAAGATCCCCTCAATTCTGGCACCAGTTGGAAATTCAGGGGTTCCCAGGATCAGCCTTAGATTTGATAGTTCACTAGAACTCACTGGTGTACTCACAGCTCAGGGGCACAGATTAAAATCAAACGTGAAAAGGTGCATAGGGCAGTGTCCAAGAAAGTTCCAAACAGGGAGCTTCCATTTGTCCTCTCTTGTGGAGTTGTAATTAGCTTTACTTCCTTGGCATCCATATCTATCTGATAATACTCCCAGAGTACCATTATGTATTCTGGTCCAGAGTTCTTATTGAGAGCCAGCATGTTGTCATAGCAGACTGCCCCTTTATCTGAGCTCTATCTGTACCCCTCTGGAGATTTAAGTTTGATACTTAGGACCCATAGCCTTCACCCTATAACACATGGTAGACTTTTTGGTCTCACGCAGTACTGCCATGCAAACAAAACCCCTCCAGTCAGGCACAGCATTCCCAAGGTTTAGAGAGGACCTCCCAAAAACCAAGGGCAAAGGCTAGACCTCTTTGGACAAGGACAAATTCTTTATTATACAGTTTGTTTTCTACTTGATCCTGACTAATCACTTACTGTGTTCCAAAAACTGGACTAAGAGCCTTCTCTGCAATAATAGTTTTCACTACATCCCTAGGAAACCAGGTGTAGATGAGGAAAGAAAGTTTCAGAAAGTATGTCTAGTACAAAGTTCCGTAGCTAGTAAGGCTGTTGCAGAACTCAGACCTGAGTCTATGCTTCCAACCAGTACCTTGTGCTGCTCTTTACTGGATGGTTAAATTATATGACTTTACAAAAAGGAAAAAAGGCTGAAATTTGTCTGCTGTTGCCTATAGGTGAACATCTTATAAATTTGCTGCTGGCATTGGATATGATACCTAGGGAGAAAATTAGAGGAGATGTTCTTCTCAGTCTCTCCCATCTTCCGTTCTTTTGTTTGTGTCCGGGAAAAACTAAATTACCTGTCCTGAAGAGCAGCAGCAGCACTCCCTAGTTGTCATATCTGCCCTCATGAGGTCAGTTCTGTAGTGCCCATATAGGCAGGATGCTCCTTGACCTGTGAACTCTCACTTGCTTGGCTCTTAACTAAAATTGATGCTTTGCGGTGGGGGAGGGGTCTTTTGAAATTTTTCTTGGACAGGGTCAGACATTTGGTGTGGGACCTAAAGAGTAAAGTGACTATTTTAAGAGTAGTAAGTGGTAGGAAATGAAAACTTGTTTACTTTTTTCCTTCTTTACTTCCATCTGTGTCAAATGAAAACAAATTGCCTACCTAACGTACAGGGTTTTAGTATGTACTTGAAGTACAACCTCATGTGCATTTGTTCAGCTTAACAGAGATGAAGCATTCATATCAAGTCCGCTAACAAATAGGAATTAACTGTTTGTGAAAAGAACATTGTTTTTAAAAAACTGGGGAAAGGAGTGAAGAAGCATTAGTCTGAGATTGCTCCAGCACCTTGGGCTCCTGGGTTCCTGTTTAAGCAAACCAAAAATGGTGTAACCAAAAAAATGAAACTTCAGCTTAGCATCAGAATCCACCAATTAACTTCTAATAGGGACTTCCCATTACATCATAGCCAAATAATTCAAAGGCCTTGTTGTAGCCTGTCCAGTAATTTATTTATCTTGCTTCTGTGGTCAGCCTAGAAAAACGTGCTGTTCAAGCTGCTAAAGCAGAATTCTCTGAACCTCTGGTTCGGAGTGCACCCAATTCATGAATTCTTCTTTTTCTAAATAAACTTTACTGACTTAACCTTTCTAAAGCTTTTCTTTTAACGACATGAATAAGTATGTCTAATTTGTATTTGCCTGCCTTTAAGGTGATTGTTAAATTAAGATATGAATTTTAGCTTTTTAAAATGTTAATTTTTGAATTATCACATATACATGTTTCCCATTTTGTACCTACAAATACAGTTGAGTTTTATCGATACTGCTTTTGCTGCTTGTACAAACTAATCTTGTTACTGCTAATTCACAGAAGCATGTCTTTTCTTACTGACTTTTTTCCAGATGAAGAGAAGAACAAACAGAATAAAACAAAAACTCAAACTAGTGATTCTAATGAAGGAAAAGCAAAAAGTGTGCGGCATGCTTATGTTCACAAACCATACCTTTATTCAAAATACTATAGTGATTCTGATGACGAACTTACTGTAGAGCAGCGGCGGCAGTCTATTGTAAGTCCAGTTTGATCTCTTATAACTTTAACCTACGATATTAGGCTGTCAAACTTAGTAGTCTGTGCGCAAGATACTGGTGTGCATGTGAAGCAGACATACTGGCTGTACCTTCAGGATCCTTGTCATTTAACTAGATAGAATAGACACATGTGACTCAAGTATTTGTAGCATTGTTACTAATAAAAGTGAAAGACTGACTGGTAACAATCCAAATGGTGCATGGTATGTAAATATTTGAATTAATATGTATGGGATCATAGAAAGATACCACATTAGCCATTATTTATAGGGAAATGTCCATGTATTTCCTGGATTTGGAAATGCTTCCAATTATGAAATGTTCTATTGAGAACATGATTTTAATGGAATTATTAAGAACATGATTTTAAAGAAAATTACTACCTCATTCATGTATACATCACTTTTAAGATGACTTACAGTTTAAGAAATATTAAAATATGAAAAGGAAGTATTATAGAAATACGACTTGAAGAAAGTACCCCAAAACGCGAATAGTGGTTAGACTTCCTTCCAGGCTTATCTTTTGAAAAGATTACTTGGTCAGGAGTTTCACTTTGATTTTGTGCTCTGGAGTGATGGGAATAACACAATGATTGTGAATTCCCTCTGGTTTAAAATAGGACAGAGGAGAGTCTCAAGTCCAAATCCTGAGTCCCATGAGTATAACCACCAAATCAAAATCATTGTCAAACTAACCTGTCACTTTAATCTTTTCTTTTAAAATAACTCAAAAGGAGTGGAGTCGTGGCTCAAGCAGTAGAGTGCCTGCTTTGCTAGTACAAAGCCCAGAGTTCAAATCCCAGTCCCATCAAAAGATTCAAAAGAATAACTGAAAAGTTGTGCAGCTCTACCTATATACAGTGATGCTCATATTTTCATAGCTAACTCTTTAATTGAAACAACCTGTGTATTGAATCACCATTTTCCAGAGTAATACCTTCCCCATTCTTTAAAGCAATGGCATTCTGAAGAAAATAATGGGGATATTTTCACATTTGTCTCTTTTGGTTCTTTTGTTAGCTTCCAAATTGAAGCACACACACACCTGTACATACACATACATGCACATACAAGTGTGTGTATATGCATGTGCTTGCGTGCACTTTTATGGCATCCCTTGATTTTTAAGAACATCTGAAGGGTAGACTAAAACTTTTTTGTGGTGTTAGGGATTGAACCCAGGGCCTCACACATGCTAGAGGTTTACCACTGAACTGTAACACTAGTCCTAAAACTTTTTCTTATATATTTCTTTCACAGTGTTTTTGGTTTTGCCTGATAACCAGTCAGGGTATTTTGTGGTTTTAGGCTAAAGAAAAAGAAGAGAGACTTTTAAGAAGACAAATTAATAGAGAGAAACTTGAAGAAAAACGAAAACAGAAAGCAGAAAAGACAAAGTCTTCCAAAGCCAAGAATCAAGGTATAGCAGCTATTATCTTTTGTTATATTAGATTTATATACTCCATTATTTTCTAGTTACTCTTATATTACTTATGACATATGCATACAAAATAGTGTGTTCTCAAGCGTGGAAGATTCCCTTACTTTTTAATCTGATATGTTTGGTCATTTTCTTTAGATTATATTGCTATATTTTCATTCAGCGTTCAATCAGGTACTGGTTTATCCCCCTGATGTGTTAGTAATTTATTTTCCAGTAATGATAGAATGAACTATCACTGGAAAATGGATTGTTAACAAAAGTAATCAAGCCTTACTGGTGATATTAATAGAGTTAACCTATATTTTGTGTTAGTTTTGGAGGGTTTGTTTGTTTATTGTGGGCTGAGGACTAAATCTCTAGTGCCTCAAGCATGGTAAGAACGTGATCTACCACTGAGCTATACCCTCAGCCCCATTTGTCAACATTTATCTGTGTAGCATATTGTGTGAAACACAATTGAATTCTGCTGTGTTTATTTCAACACAACTTATGAGCCATTAAAAGCCATTTGCATTTTTATACTGATTAGAAAACCTTAATGAAAAATAAACATAACGCTATTCATAAACTCTTGTGAAATACAGGTTATTGATTGTTTTTTTCCTAGGTAAAAGTAGCATGGACTTAGAAGAAACATCAACAAAGAATTTGGAACCGAAAGCCCCCAGAATTAAAGAAGTCCTTAAGGAACGGAAAGTTTTGGAGAAAAAAGTAGCCTTAAGCAAAAGAAGAAAAAAAGACTCAAGGTACATATTTTAGCAGGCCATATTCCAATTGTACCACTCTTGGCATACTTTCAGAAGAGAGGCATTGAAAATGGCAATAGAAATTCATACCTTGAATCATATTTTGCCTCATATTTTTAAAGGACCTAGAGTTTCATTTTTATTGTGTTCATTCATTGTGTTAAAATCTATACAATTTCAAAGTAAAATATCTTAATCTTAATTATTTTTGTGAAAATCTGGTGGAAGCTTAAGACCTTCTCCCAGAAAAGTATACATACATAAACAAACTGTAATCCATATAATTTCAGAGAGTTAATGGATCCTCTAGAAGCAGCCCTGTTCTGGCATTTGATCGCCACTTACAATAATTACATCTGTCATCTTAGTCTTTCCACACACTTATTTTTACTAGTATCCCATGCTTCTCCCCCTAACCCAAAGACTAAGCCAGGTTCTTTTTTTAACACTGCATTATCATTATTAATTTCTGTAAGAATTAGAAAGTCAGAGGTGCTTATGAATATGAAGTCATGTGAGCCATGGGTTACAATTTTGCAGTTCCATTAAGCTGTAATTATGTAAATTAATCAAGATAAGTGATTTGTAAGAACTCAGTGAAATTTATTATTATACGTCATTCCTATTAATCTGAACATAGAAAGTTTCCCTGTTTACTCAAAAGATGGTAATTTTCAAAATGTAAATATAGTCCATAAGTATTCATCTTCAGGCAATGAGTTAGAAAAAGTCATTCCATTTTATCTTCCTTTAGCACCAAAGGCAGTTCCTGCTACATTTGGATTATGTTCATTATGACTAAGAATAGGATTTAAATCAACTGTAACAAGTCTCCACTTATAGATTAAGTATTTATAGTAAAGGAGAGGTTTGTTTTTTTTTTTCCAAACTCTGAAAAATTCTTATATTAAGTTGAAGTTCATATTTTTGACTTTTTCCCCCTCTTAGGAATGTTGAAGAGAATTACAAAAAGAAACAGCAGTCTGAAGAAGATTCCAAAGAGACCCTCAAAACAAGTGAGGTGTGTCTTAATAAAACCCATCTCCATTGTTCTTTTGTTAGAGATAGATCATTTAGGCCTTTATAGTAAAACTTAGAATGTCATTTGATCTTTTTTACATGAAATAAAAAGATGTTCCCATTCAGCCTTCTTGAATCCCTATCCTATGATCTGAATTCCTCATTAAGTGAGTTAATTTATGTGATATTTTGTCTGTGTAGTAGCTTCTTTTCTTCTCGTCCTTCCTCTCTCCTCACCTTGTTTCTTATATTGGCAGTAACCAAATTGCCATTTATAATAAGAAGAAAGAAGAAAGAGGGGGATAAAAACTAAAATCCCTTCCCCATAAAGGATCATCCATTTTGTCTCTTTGATTCTTTGTCCACAAGGGCACATAGTTTTTTTAGTGGAAGTAATGTGAAAATATTTTTCACACTTTACTTGTCTTATTACCTGGTCACTTAATGGTTGACTAACGTTATATTAAATGGATTTTTTTTTATATGATTGTTTTTATATTTGAGCACTTCAGAGTGTATTAAAAATTTGGTTGTAGTAAAAACATCTGCAATGAATATTTTTCCCTTTTTGGATTATTTTCTTGGGACAAACTTTGGCGTTCACTAGGGTTAAATTCTTGTTTACACAGCCATATTTAAAATTCCGTATCTGGAATATCTTCACATTTTTATCTTAACCATTCCACTAATAATTTACTGATTATTTGTTCAAAGCCAATAAATATTTTTAGTTTCTTTATTGAAAATTACAAGCATAGTTAGATGTACATCCTGAAGTTTTACTGCATAGTTTTGAATATTTAACTTTGTGGTAATTTTTTTGTAAAAAATTATCTCATAAAATTTTACTCACATTAATTGCTTAAAATTGTTTTTTGAAAAACTAGTTTGATAACTTTTCTTTGAGAAATTTAATTTTGAAGTACTTGCTAAGATCTTGCTATGTATATAAATCTTTATATATATGAATATAATGTATGTATATGTATCTACGTATATAAATCTATGTTGAAATTTAAGGAATACATTGTTAAGCTGACCTAGAGGCACAAAGGTCTTTCTAAGGACAGGATTTTGACATGTTATTTGAATAAGAATAATTATAGTTAGTAGTCAGTGAGTCTTTATTGAAGTGAGTGTAATCAACATCTTCTTATTAATAGTAATAATTACTCATTGCCAAACTCGGGGGATGAAGAGGAAAGTTCACATGCTCTGCTCTTAATATCTTCCCCTGAATGCATAAACATATTTACAAATACATAGCTGTATTACATATGTTATTGTTACTGTGGGGTGCTGTGTACATTTGAAATCTTATAAGACTATCATACAATTGGTCTAAATTTATGTGATTTCCATAAAATATTAGAGTTTCTGTATTGAAAACCTGTATTTTAGTGTAAAATTTTTAAATTATCTACATCAGCATGTATAGTGTTTTTAGACTAAAAGGAGCATCAGACTGTCATTCATTCCACTTACATTTATTACATTAATTGTCAACATCATGGGCATTAGTGGGCTGTAGCAGTTTAGAGTTGAAGAAAGCCTCCTAAATTCATGGGTGAACCTTCGGAGAAATCTCAGGAGAATGTGAGCCTGTGGAGTTGCCTGCAATGTAGTGGGAAGAGTGCTAGACTCAGAAGGAGATCATCTAAACTCATTTCCAGCATAGCTCCTTGATGCCTAACCTTCAAGTGATGGAGTCCCACTCACTGAGCTTCAGATTCCCCATATATAAAAAGAGGTTAGTAATGCCTACCACAGGCATCCAAGGATCAAGTGAAGTTTTTCATACGTACCAGCACTCAACATATTAAATGCCCCCAAATATTAATTTGAATCTAAAGATTGATTTTGGTATTTCTCATATTTTAACATTTGTTTTCTTACAGCATTGTGAAAAGGAAAAGGCATCTTCTTCAAAGGAACTGAAGCATGCTCATGCAAAAGGCGAGCCAAGTAAACCTGCCCGGAGACTTTCAGAATCTTTTCATTCAGCTGAAGAAAACAAAAATGAACCCAAAGTAGAAAGAGAACATAAAAGAAGAACGTCTACCCCTGTTGCAGTGGAAGGGTCACAGGAAGAAGCTGACACAAGGGAAGGAAAAAGGCAAGTAGACCGCTCAGAAAGTGGAATGGAGGAAACCCAGAAACAGAAAAGTACTCTTAAAAACGAAAAACATCTAAAGAAAGATGATTCTGAAACACCACATTTGAAAAATCTACCTAAGAAAGAGGTAAAATCCTCCAAGGAAAAGCCTGAAAAAGAGAAAACTCTGTCAGAAGAAAAATTGTCTATAAAACACAAACATAAAGGTGAGAATGCACATAAAGTAGGTGATGAGACAGAACTTCACTCTGAGAAAGGCTTAAAAGTAGAGGAAAATATTCAGAAACAGAGCCAGCAAACCAAGCTTTCTTCAGATGATAAAGCTGAACGAAAAAGTAAACATAGGAATGAAAGGAAATTATCAGTCTTAGGGAAAGATGGAAAGCCAGTTTCTGAATACATTATAAAAACAGATGAGAATGTACGAAAAGAAAACAACAAGAAAGAGAAGCACATGTCGTCTGAAAAAGCTAAGGCAGAGCACAAATCCAGACGGTCAAGTGATTCTAAAATTCAGAAAGATTCTTCCAGTTCCAAGCAACACAGTACCACAGTTCAGAGAAGAAGTGAAAGTTATTCAGAAGATAAGTGTGATACAGACTCAACTAATTTAGATAGTAATTTAAAACCAGAAGAAGTTGTTCACAAGGAGAGGCGAAGAACGAAGAGCTTGTTGGAAGAAAAACTTATGTTGAAGTCTAAACCAAGAGGTCAAGGCAAACAATTAAAAGTTACTGAAACAGAATTACAAGAAAGTGTCACAAAACAGACATCCACTCCAAAACCAGATAAGGAGAAGAATACAGAAGAAAATGACTCCGAAAAACAACGCAAGTCTAAAGTTGAAGACAAGGCTTTAGAAGAAACTGGTGTTGAACACGTGCTAGAGAGTGTCACTTCTTCAGCACATAGTACACAGAAAGACTCTAGTCACAGAGCGAAGTTATCATTGGCAAAGGAGAAATATAAGGGTGACAAAGATTCAACCTCTTCCAGACTTGAGAGAAAGTTATCAGATGGGCACAAAAACAGAAGCTTAAAGCACAGTAGTAAAGACATGAAAAAGAAGGAAGAAAATAAATCTGATGACAAGGATGGTAAAGAAGTTGACAGTATTCATGAAAAGACCAGAGGGAATGGTTCAGTCATAGAAAAGAAAGTAAGTAGAAGGTTGTGTGAAAATCGAAGGGGAAGCTTATCACAAGAAATGACCAAAGGAGAAGATAAATTAGCAGCAAACACTTTAGGCACTCCCAGTAGTTCCTCTCTTCAGAGACCGAAAAAAACTGGCGAAACCACATCAATCTCTGAAGAGCCAATGGAAATTGACTCTGAGGCAGCTGTCGAAAATGTATTTGAAGTATCTAAAATCCAAGACTGCAGCAATAATAGTTCTCAACATGATATTGACTCTGACATTGTCATAAAGCAAAAAACTACTGCCACAGTTCTCAAGGATGAGTTAAGAATTTCCATAGTAGATTCAAAAGCAGCAACTGCAGCCTGTAAATCGGGGCGTGGAATGGGAATTACTAGCAATTCTGAAAAGTATGCTGAACATAACAACACCTTAACAAAGAAAGTGCACATCCAAAGTGCTGTGTCCAAACCAAATCCTGGGGAGAAAGAGCTCATTCAACGAGGAGCTCATAAAGTGAATGTGGACTCTGAGACAAGTCACAGAATGTTTTCTAATGCCCCATCAGAAAATGATAGGATACAAAAGAGTTTGAAAAGCATAGATGGATCCACTGAAGAACATGCCACTCCAGGAGACACTGCTCTTGAACATTCCACAGAATTAGGCCCCTCACCATCCTTAGATTCCAAGACTGTTGTGCCTCAGAAAGAATCTCCTGATTCACATGTAATTCCTCCAGTTCATGGAAGAACTGTTTCAGAAGGTAGTACAGTCAGCGCCTCCCTTATGGATCCCTCAGATATCCCTAACCAAAGTTTGACTATCAGAAAATTAGAAGTCCCTAGGGCAGGTGACAGCAAAGCAGGTGGTGACAGTTCTGTGGCAGCAAAAGGAAGTGTGGCTGTCAAGAAGAACATTCCAGGAGAACACCAGGCTACTTTATTAGACAGTAAGCAAGGAAAAGTAAATATACCTCTTGCTAGCAAGTCAACAGACATAATTGTGGAAAATGAGAATGTTGACAAAGAAGCTGATTTGATGGACATGGCCAAGAAAGAAAGTGACTTAAATGCAGAGCCCAGTTTAAAGCAGACAGCTAGAGCTGCAATGGAAAATGGCAAGGAAGATGACATTGCTGTTGATCATGTGGTAGGCATGAGTACAGAAAAGGTTGCTGAAACAGTTGAACTTAAGAGTGACCCAGGTGAAATTAAATTAGTACCAATTGATGTTGAAAAAAGGGCTGAAAACAGTGAGGTAGACACAAGTGCTGGAGGTAATGCTGCCTCCTATGTGTCTCAACAAAGGAATGGAAAAACTGAAAAGGTGGCTGCTAGATCCGGTAGAGCAGAAAAGACTTCAGTTGCCACAAGTACTGAAGGGAAGGACAAAGGCATCACCTTAACTCCAGTAAAGGCTGGGGATGCCACCACCACTTCTACAGAAACAGGAGAGAGAGTGATGGCTTTGCCTTGCACCAGCAATGAGGCAGATGAAGGCTTCATAATAGGTGTGTGCCCTAGAAACAATCCCCTCCGGGTCGGGGTGGAAGCAAACGAATGTACTGTTTTTGCTGCAGCTGAAGAGAGTGGGGGTGTTGTCACAGAAGGATTTGCTGAAAGTGAAACTTTCCTTACAAGCACCAAGGAAGGAGAAAGTAGAGAGTGTACTGTGGCCGAATCAGAAGACAGAGCAGCAGGCCCTGTGGCTGCTGATACTGTTAAAACAGAAGCCAACTTGAGCGGTGTTGTGACAGAAGAAAAAGATGATGCTGTAACCAGTGCAGGGTCTGAAGAAAAGTGTGATGGTTCTTCAAGTAGAGACTCAGAAATTGTTGAAGGGACTGTTACTTTCATTAGCGAAGGTGAAAGCGATGGAGCAGTTACAAGTGCTGGGACAGAAATAAGAGCAGGATCCATAAGCAGTGAAGAGGTTGATGGGTCCCAGGGAAATAGGACACGAATGGGTCCCAAAAAAGAAACGGAGGGTACTGTGACATGTACAGGAGCAGAGCGCAGAAGTGATAACTTTGTTATCTGTTCAGTAACTGGGGCAGGGCCCCGGGAGGAGCATGTGGTGACTGGTGCAGATGTGGTCCAAGTAGATAATGATGCACCTCCCGGGACAAGCACCAACCCAGGAGATGGTTCTGGGAATGATGGTACAGAAGGTGAGAGTGCAGTCACCAGCACAGGCATAACAGAAGAAGATGGGGAAGGGCCAGCAAGTTGCACTGGCATGGAAGACAGTAGTGAAGGCTGCGCTATAAGTTCTGAAACGCAAGAAAATGGAGAGAGTGCAATGGACAGCACGGTAGCCAAAGATGTCACTAATGCACCCTTAGTGGCTGCTGGTCCCTGTGATGATGAAGGCATTGTGACCAGCACAGGTGCAAAAGAAGAGGATGACGAGGGGGAGGGCATTGTGACTAGTACAGGAAGAGGAAATGAAATTGGACATGCTTCAACTTGCACAGGAATAGAAGAAAGTGAAGGAGTGTTGGTTTGCGAGAGCATAGAAGGAGTCAGTCAGATTGGTCCTATAGTAGAGCATGTGGATGCTGAGGCTGGTGTGGCCATCATGAATGCAAATGAGAGTAATGTTGACAGCATGAGTAGTACAGAAAAGAAAATGAAAGGCACAGAGATCTATTCCAGTGCCAAAGGGATTGTGGAAAGCAGTGTGACCAGTGTGGTTGCAGGAAAGACTGATGCTGTCCCAGTTCCAGAAGGTTGTGAGGCCCCATGACTAGTGCAGCTTCTGATCAAAGTGATGGTCAGCTCACCAGGAAAGAAACAGTTGAAGATGCCTCTATTTCCACTGGCCTGGTAGGGGGTAGTTATGATGTTCTTGTATCTGGTGCAGTCCCAGAATGTGAAGTTGACCACACATCACAAAGTGAAAAAGAAGATGAGGGCATCATCACCTCTGTCGAAAATGATGAGTGTGATGGCCTCATGGCTACTACAGCCAGTGATGATAATTCCAACCAAGGTAGCTTGCCTGGGAGTAAGAGTCAAGGCAAAGGCTTGATGATTTCCACCAGTACAACAAATGATTACACCCCTCAGGTAAGCACAGTTATAAGTGAAAGGCATTCAAGTACTCTGAGAACTGAAGAACACTTGGAAGGCAACAGAGTGAACATGGAAGAATTTGAGGCCCCCATGCCCAGTGCAGTTTCAGGTGATGAGAGCCAACTCACTGCTAGCCGAAGTGAAGAGAAGGATGAGTGTGCCATGATTTCCACAAGCATAGGGGAAGAGTTTGAAGTGCCTATTTCCAGTGCAGTAGCCATCAAATGCACTGAAAGTCATCAGCCAGTTGCAGCAGTTGAGGAAAGAGCCAAAGGTCCAATCTTTATAAGCACTGAGGACTTCGAGGTACCTATGCCTAGTGCTCCCACAGAAGCTGAAAGCCCTTTTTCCTCAACCCGCAAGGAAGAAAAGGATGAGTGTGCCCTCATTTCCACCAGCATAGCAGAAGAATGTGAGGCCTCTATTTCTGGTGTAAGTGAAAATGCGCCATCTGTTACAGATGGGAGTGCTGTTATCTCCACAAGCTCAGTGGAAGATTGTGAGGGCCCCGTGTCTAGCGCTGTACCTCAAGAGGAGGTCCATCCAGTAGTCACACCAGCAGAAGAGACAAGTGACACTGCCATGATTTCCACAAGCACTTCCGAAGGCTGCGAAGCAGTCATGGTTGGTCCCATCCCTGTGGATGAAGACCAGGTCACCATTGCGAGAGTGGAAGACTTGAGTGATGCTGCCATCATCTCTACCAGCACAGCTGAGTATGTGCTGATGGGTACTAGTCTGGACAAACACGAAGAGAATCAAGCAGCTGCCCACAACCTAGAAGGAAATGATGACCTGTCGGCTACAAAAGTGAGCAAGTGTGAGGTTCCCATGCCCAGCCTCATGGCTGAGAGTAATTGTCAGTGTCCTGTGCCATTTACAAGAGGCAAAGAAGAGCACCTCGTACTGGCAGCGAGCCCTGAGGAAGGGCAGGGCAGGTCGTCAGTCTACAATTGTTCTGCAGGGCGAGGCCAACCAAGTGTTGTATGTGCAGAAGAGGAAGAGAGACATGACAAGGACTGCTCTGGCCAAGGTCCATTTGCAGGAAGAGGACAGAAGGAGAGTACTTTTCACCTCAAAAATGCAGAAGAGAAGAATGTATTGCCAAGCTCCATTCAGAAGAAAGACAAAAGCCCAGAGGCAGAAACTGTAGGGGACAGCAGCACAACCAGTTATTTGGCATTAAGGAGCTTGGAGAGGAATGCCAACTCATCTGTCCATCTGAGTGGACCAGAACAGACATCTGATGAGGAGCTCTCTATCAGTATTTGCCATTTGGCCACAGTAAATACCGGTGCTAAAAAATCTGACCACATCCCACCTATCAAAGACCCTGCAGCAGAGTATTCTATTCCTCCTCTCCAGCAGGGGCCTGAGGACAACTTGAAAGCCACTACCACCAAATGTATTACAGGCCAGGAGTCAAAAATTGCTTCTTCCCACACATTGATCCTTCCAGCTGCCTACCACTTAGCTCCATCAGCTCCACAATGTGTAAAGGACTTGCCACCAAAGAGTGATCACAATGGCAAATGTACTGCCAAGGCATCTGCTGAGAAAACAGAACATGTTACTGACACAAGGACATTACTTCACAAGGAAGGAAACCTCAAGGTCACTGTTTCTGCTAAAGAAAATTTGTGTGACAGAGGTGAGAATCTTTTCTAATTGCATATGTCTGCAATTTACACACTAATTAAATATTTCATTTAAGACAGTCTTTCAAAAGATGATTCTAAAATGATAATTAATTTTTTTCTTGCTGTGTTACAAAATAACTCATCAAACTTGAAGGTTAGACTGCTCTAAAAATTACTTACTAGGACAGGTGCAGTAGCCCACAACTGTAATCCTAGCTACGCAGGAGGTGGAGATTGTGAGAATCACCATTCAAGCCCAGCCTGGGCAAAAAGTTTGTGAGACTTCATCTCAACTAGTAAAAACTGGGCGAGGTGTGCCTGTCATCCCAGCTGAGTGAGAAACATAAATAGGAGGATCATAGTCCAGGCTGGCCTGGGCATAAAAGCAAAATGCTGTTTGAAAAATAACTAAAACAAAAGGGCTGGAGACATGGCTCAAGTTGTAGAGCACCTGCCTAACAAGTATAAGGCCCTCAGTAGTTCTGCCAAAATAAATAAATAGAACCGTATACCCATTTCTCATGTGTAAGGAGAGAAGAGGTAGGACTCTGGAACATGGGAATTCGGCTAACTATGTGTTGTCTTCATGACTAATGACTGTTACAAGTTTCTAAGTCTCTTTGTTTTTCAATTTTTGTCTCTTCCCCGCCCTCTCCTCCCCCACCCCTGCCATGGTCCTAGGGATCAAACCCAGGGCCTCAAGCCTATCAGGCAAACATTCTACCACTGAACAACACTCTCAGCCTCTATTATTTTTGTTAACTGACTTTACTGTTCAAGTAAAATGAGTGTCTGGTTTCAGATATGTTTGTAAGACAATGGCACCATATTCCCTCTTGACAGATTTTGGAGAATTATGGTCTTTTTAATTGGTGACTTTCAAGGGTATAGTCTCTGTCATTCATCAAACCATCCAAATTCAGATACTACATACAAGGTACTTACTGTACTAAGCTCTGAGGATGCAAAGATAGATACTCAAAGATGGGAAGGCAGCTGTGAATTCAACCATGTACTGTACCACGTTGGCAGCAGTACTGGTGTGGCAGGCACTTAGGATAAAGAAAAGCGTAGTGTGATGTAAGAGCTCAGAGGAAGCACATGGACTGGACTTGAAAGAATCCGGGGATGCTGGCTTCATTTCCACTCTGACTATAAATTAAGGCTTCCTGGACATGTAAACTAGAGCTGATCACAGCTGTTGTCTAACCTAGTCTATGATGCCATAGATTTAAGTCCTGTTCATTATAGGGACTTAGATGGGAGACCTTCAAAAATGTTATAAGGGCGGGGCACTGGTGGCTCACACCTGTAACCATAGCTACTCAGGAGGCAGAAATCAGGAGGATCACTGTTGGAAGCCAGACTCTTATCTCTAAAATACCCAACACCAAAAAGGACTAGCTCAAATGCTACAGCACCTGACTAGCAAGCATGAGGCCCTTACTTCAACCCCAGGACCACAAATAAAAAAGAAAGAAAAGAAATGGTATTAGTGTTAAAATAAGTAACTTTAAATTTTTTTATTGATTTTAGCCTGGAGTATATTGAATGCCCAGGAATTTTTTTATGACTCAATCAATACAAAAATCTATTATTCCTCCTCCCCCCTTTTCCTCTGTAGGGACAAAAATAGAAGGTCCTTTATTCATTCATTCATTCATTCATTCACTTATTTATTTATTCATTATTTTTGCAGTGCCGAATATTGAACTCAGAGCTTCATGCTTGCTAGGCAAGTGCTCTATCACTTGAACCGTGCCCCCAGTCCTAGAAGGGCTTTTGCAAGAAAAAAAAAACTTGCAGGCTGTTGGAAGAAAGAAGGCTTTTTTTTTTTTTTTTTTTGGCAGTTTATGTGTGAAGCAGGTGAGAGAAACTGAAGAAGCCACAGCTACAGAGGGATAAGAGAAAGAGGCAAGACCAGAGTAAAATTGAGTGTCCACCTGAGAAAATTCCTTTGCCTTCTTTGGTCTACCTCAGTTATTTTAAGTTTATGCTCACTTCTGCTGTGTCAACATGAAGCAAATAAAGTGAGCCTATTTGTAAACCAAGTTTATTGCATATAAAAGCCTCAGTGATTCAATATATTTTTAGGTACAAACTTTATTAATAGAGATGACTGTAGAAAGACCCTGGGAAATAAGATGTCTCCACAAATATATTGTGCTGTTCTTTCTGGGCAGTCATCTTACTGTGCAAACAAGAAGCAATTTCACACCCCCAGAATACATAAATGACCCCTACCTCTCTTCCAGCTCCTTTTCCAGAAAATTAAGTTTTCTACTTAGAGTAAAATAAACCACCAAAGAAAAGGTGGCTTGCTGTGCCAGATAACATTTCATTTCTTTTTGATGTTGGGTGTATTTTGAAATCAAATTCTTAAGAAATGTTAATGGTTTGAATTTCATTAGGCAATGAAGAGTCTCCACCCAGTGTTTTGAGAGAATCAGAACTGACAGCCAACTTGAAAACTGAGGTATGGCTGATAATTGTTTTATGCTGAACTGTTAGTGCTTATGTTCCATTTCGTGATTGTGTGTGTGTGTGTGTGTGTGTGTCCCTCAGCTATATAGCTCCTGTAGTCAGTGTACTTCTAGCACTTTGTATTTTTATTGCCTTATCTTTGTAGGGGGGAAATACCAAGAACCTCAGTAATCTTAGTAAATAGTTCCAAATCCATCTCAAGATGGAAACTAGGAGTCTCCCTTCAGTTTTTCCTGGTCATCCTACATTTAATCCATTGCCAATTCTTATAGATTCCATTTCCAAAATAGAGCATGAATCCATCTATTTCTGTTCCTGTAGCTACTACTCTCATCTAAGCTACTACTTCAGTAGCCTCCTAATTAGACTTTTACTCCAGCTCCTCCTCTTGTCTATGATCAGCCACGCAGGTTGTCTTTAAAAAGAGAAATTAGGTCCTGTTATCACTCTGCTTAGAATTCCCCCTGGCTTCCCATCACATTTAGAATAAAATCTTTCATGTTTTTATTATGGCCTGTGTTGTACACAATTTACTCTGTATGCCCCCTTTGTAACCTGATCCCATGGCATCCTCCAGCTATATGAGACTGTAGCAGTGAACATGGGGGGTTGCAAACAGTGTACAGGGAGCACAACTTACCCAAAGAACAGGGGCAGGCAGGCAGGAGGGCTTGGAAATTCTAAGAATTCTAAAAGTAGAGTAGAAGTTTACCAGGAGACATGGGAAAGAGAGAGCCTTCCAATCAAAGAGAGCTTATATTCTAAATTCACAGAGGGGAGAGCCTGTGGTTTGCTAGACTCACATCTGTGAGCTGTGGTGAGACTTAAGCCTGGCAAGGGAGTAGGACCTATCAGGAAGGGCCAAGTATGTTGTGCTGAGTTGGAGTTTTACTTTTTGCAATAGGAAAACCATTGATGAATGAAATATGAAATTGGTTTGGTTTTCATTTTTGTTGTTTTATTTTTTGTATTTTTTAAATACATACTCAGTTTTCAGTTTTATACAAAAGTAAGTTTTTATGTTGTTTCATGATACAAGGGGGGTTTCAATCATTCTCTGGAAAGCAGTCTTGCCTCCTTGTTGTACAAACCTCATTTAACTTGTTTTTATTGTGCTTTGCATTTTTAAGACATCTATACCTTCAGAGGAAGAGAAAAATCATGAAATACTAGTAGCACCAGAAAGTCCCCATGTGGGAAAACTGAGTGAAATAGGTAAGCTCCCTTTGGTGGTTGTTTGCATTGTTTATTTTTCCAAATCTCTTTAAATCTGTAATAGAAAACAGGTTGTTTCTTATATCTGTTTCCACATTTATTCTGTTGCTGTCTATTGTTTTGGTTGCAGTATTAGGCCAAAATTCACCATAGATTTATATGTAGATTTTGTGTATACATGTGGTGGGGATTGAAACCATGGTCTCACACATACTAATCAAATATTCTACCACTGAGCTAACTCCCCAGCCACTGTGGTTAGAGTTAATAAACTTTTCAGTTAATTGTGAATATATCGTGTGGCTTCTGGAAAACTGTTGTTCACTACTGAGTTCATAAAGCGAACATCTTAGTATTAGTGTGACATTAGTTTGGCCCTTGTGGATTCCTTGGTAGAAGCCTTGGGAGCTCCCAAGGGGAGGGAAAGGTCCTACTCCATACTTTGTGACCCATTGGGTTAAGGAAATGGAAATAAGAATTGTGACAGTGTAGAATTATTTTCTTCTACTAAGTTAGACATTAAGAAGAAAAATACTGTCAAGGGTATAGCTCAGTGGTAGATTGTGGCCCTGATTTCAATCCTCAGTACCAAAGACAAAAAGCAAGAAAAAACTACTCAGAACTTTTGAACTTTTAAATTTGTAACCAAATTTAAGCCAGTTCTCCTTTTTTTTTTTTAAACAATGTTGGAACATCCATGTAAGAACAGTCAGGGTGATTTTGGTGGTAAAGAAAAGAAAAATAACAGAAAACCCTATAAATAGTTGTTTAAGGAGAATTTCTTAGCAAATTCAAGCAAAAGCATGATCCAAGAGCATGAAACCTACAATAGAAACTCAATTTCTTATCTCTTTATTCCACAGAGGTCACCGCTTTCTCAATCCTGGCCTCCTGGAAAATAGCTTTGTCCTGTAATTACAGGGCAAAATCCTGAGAATTTGATTCAGCTTAAGTTCATATGTCTGCCCTAATTAGTACTGTTGCCAGAGGAATGTAGCTTGATGTTTGATTTTTAAGTCAAGTGTTATGTTCCTAGAACCATACAGTATCCCATACCACAGTCTGGGCTCTTGGGGAGGATGCTAGGAAAGCAGACAACTAGGCTCTTTAAATAATTTTCCTTACAAAACATCATTAAGCCAGGTACTTGTGAGAATCAGGGAAATCAAGATGGAAATGACTGATAGAAATAAGTCGTTCACTGAGATGCATATGCAGAAGAATAAGGCATGGTAGAAATGACATCATTCAAAGTCAAAGAATTGTGTGTCTAAATCTCCATCTATGACTGCTGTCTGGAGAGGTTGGAAGGGTGATGATTGGGGATCCTCTTGGACAAAATCATCTGAAATAGTTGTAAGAGCCTTGTTAGCAGAAATATAAGCAGAGGACTGGTGGAGTGGCTCAAGTGGTAGAGTGCCTGCCTAGGAAGTGTAAATCCCTGAGTTCAAACCCCAGTACTGCCAAAAAAAATTTTTTTACTGGCCACGGGTGGCTCATCCTATAATTCTAGCTACTCAGGAGACAGAGATCAGGAGGATCACAGCTCAAAGCCAGCCTGGGCAAATAGTTCTCGAGACCCTGTCTTGAAAACACTCATCACAAAAAAGTACTAGGTAGGTGTAGGCCTTGAGTTCAAACTCCAGCACCACCAAAAAAAATAAAAGAAAGAAAGAAAGAAATATAAGCAGGTCCTGGAAGACAACACCAACATTTGGTAAGCTGTTAATGCTGAGGATGACTAATCTATGTAAAACTTGGACAGATATATTAATTAAAATAGAAGTTGTATAGTACAAATAATTAGCAACTCATGTTAATTGTCACAAAGGTACTCTCATTCGATTCTGAAATCTTTTGTTCCCACAGTTATATTTCAGACTGCTTTACTGTGTTTAGTTACAATTCAATAAGAGATCTATTTACGTAAAAGGAAGTTGTTTAAAAGAAAGAATGTGTGTTCTGTCATTGTTGAGTAGAAACAGTAGACCTTATACTTCAAGTTTCCAAAGAATATAAATAGACCATTGCTGTTTGAGGGAATAGGATCTAACTTTTCATTTGATGGCATTTTTTTAAATGAGCCAGTGTTATACTGCAACTTAATAGTTGACATTCAGGTCTTCCACCTTTTTCTAAGCTTCAGATCACCAGAATAATTAAATCACTGTAGTGACTTAATGACCCATAGCCATTATTATAAAAATGCAGGCAACGTTAGTTTCCATTGTCTTTCTGATAGCAGAACACAGATTATAGAAAATACTTGATCAGAGTTTTACAAGTCACATAGGATACTTATTGACAAGGTCTTATTTAACTATCCTGGAAAATCTTTAAATGTGTTTCTCTGCATTTGAAAAACAATCTTGCTTCCTATGTCTAATTTTTGTTTTGAAACAGTTGAACTATGGGGGGAGCCTTCCTTGGTGAACGACTCACTAAATGTAAGTAACTGTAATGGTTTTGATTTTATGGTGTTGATTGTTTTGTTTTGTTTGAGAGTGACTAAAGAGGAGATAACTAATGATTTCTTTAGGAGTCAGGAGGCCATGGGGTAGTATACTCTCCATTCAAGTTCAACATGCTGAATGTAGCTGTTACTGAGTCTTTCCCATATTTGCTTATATCCACTGATGAACTCTGGGTTTTCTGTTTTTTATTATTGTAGAATTGAAAATTGGATAACAATATCCCAAATTTTCTTGGCACTGTATAGACAAAATAATTTTTTAGTTTGAGAATTAGAGTTTATTTATGCTTTTAGAAAGCTTGTCTGAAGATTCTGAAATGTCATTGCCATGTATACAGATTTTTTCTGAGAAGTGAATCTCATAATCCCTTTAATTCTTAAAAGAGTGTTGTACTGTTTTTGTTTTTGTTTTGCTTTAATGTATTTATAAAGAACCTAATGTTGTAGCAGGGGTGAACATACCATAAATGGTTGCAAATTAGCAGACAGTACATTCTCTCCAGTTGCCCTAAAGAGAGGAACTGGGAGAGCTTTGCTTACTATGAGATCAAACCGTTTATCTCATTTCATTGAGCCACCCTGTTCTGTAGCTAGACAGTCATACCATACCCATTTGTGTGGTTCAGGTTTACCTTCAAGATTTATAGAAATTTTAGGTGACCTGAAGCCTACAGAACTAGGCAGTATGTGCTTGCTGCCATGTCACAAATGAATCCTTGCAGCTACCTTGTCTCTAGTTGAGCATGAGTACATCTTCCAAATAGCGTGAAGGTCTATAGCTGGGCCTTAGACTATTTTGAGATTTTTCTCAGTTTAAAGTAATTAAATAAAGAAAAATTGATAAAATTTGCCAAACAGCTAATCGTATGACAAAATCCTTCAAGGTTTTTAAAGAAAAAAAAATTATGAGAGATGGGAAGAGGTTCCTTAGAATTCAGAAAATTTTCCTTTCTTTTTTTTTTTTTTTTTTTTTGCCAAAACCATTTTAAAGACAAGGAAAATAAACACTGAGGATGATAGCTTACTAAGTTGAAACTTTCACAAGGATGATGCTCTACCTGTTGAACTTCTGGTAAATTAAAAAGAACAAAAGAACATGTGCCCTAGTTTCTTTCGGCATTTGCACAGCCAGATTGTGTGAATTTCCTTTTTGTCGCCTTCAAGCTGTTGTGAGAGTGCTCATAAGTTATGCATTGATTGTATATTTAGGTTGAAAATTCAAACTCAACAGCAAATGAAGAAATCCATAACAGATCTTCTAACACAAGAGGTAATAATGAATGTCTTGTAGTAATTTTAATAATTGCAATTACTATTCATTGAGGACCTTCTGTGTGCCAGACTCTGTGCTAATTACTTAATTACTTGTCATTTAATTCATAAAATTTAGTGAAGTAAATGAAGCATGATATCTATAGTTAAGGAAAATGAAACCCAGAGAGGTCAGGTGATTTGTTCAAGGCCATACAGCTTAGAAGTGTTACCTTGCTTTACATAGCTCCTAGAACTTTGCCAGTAACCTGACAATGAACCCAGTCCAGTATGAGTACAAAATGCACAGTCCTTTATGATGTGTGTCCTAGAAACTGTGCTACAGATGCTAGTGAGCATTGGTTGACTCTGACAGGTAGTCTCAATAAAGTAGCAGAGGGAGTGTCATGTTTATGTGGGTTAGGTCTCACTACACACACCTGTGCGGGCCACCAGTTACAGACAGACAATTCTCTTCTCAACCAGAGCATAGAATTCGGTTGGTTCCTACTAGTTTTGTGGATTCTCTGTTCCATGGGGGAATAGGGTCTATTCCTCATACGCTTTTTTTTTTTTTTTTCTTTTTGTGGGATTGAACCTACGGTCTGTGCATGACAGGCAAGCCATATACACTTATTTTATAGCATACTACATCAGATCCCAAGCATAAGTAAAGCAGTGATAATTTTAAATACTCATGTACCCATTACCTAGTTTAGTCATACCGTCATACCTTGAAATTTAGCATATTTGCTTCACAAAATATTTTTAAAATGTTACAAATACATTATATCTCGTAGTCACAATTTTTTGACATTTTATCCCACTCTAAAGGGAATGACTATTTTGGATAGGTGTAGTTTCTAATTTCATGAACAACATAGCATATGTTACCTGGTTTCAGTAAGTGGTAATCACATTATATAAACCACTTCTACCTATTGCTCGCTTAATAATATGTTCTTAGATTTTGTTCTGTTAGTTACTATCACTAGTTACTTTATTTTAATTAATAATTAGTATTCCATTATGTGAATACACCCAGGTAATTTTTTGCTTCTGTTGGTGAACATGAAGGTTTTTTGCAACATATCCTATTATAAAGAACCTGTTTCCTAGAGCATATGCAGTGTACCTGTGTCTCTAATATGCAATTGCTCATTAGAGGTACCTCTCTAATGTTAATGAATGTGCCATATTATCTTAAAGTGGTGTACCAATTGTCAGTCTATATATTTTCCAGTATTTAATCTTGATAGGCTAGTGAAGTTTGCTAATCTGATGACTGTGAGGCAGTATTTCATTGTTTTCCCCGGACACTTAATACCGTAGTGCTACACAAACTGAAAGGAAAAGGCCTTGAAATCTGTTATATAAAATCTAGTGTTGTAACCCTGTACATATTCCTTCCTTCCTTGAGCCCTATTTACTCACATCTAATGATGACAATAAATGGAACTTACCTGACAGCATTGTTGGATGGATCCCAACCAAAAATCATTTTTGACCTCTCTGCTGCAATGCTTGGTACATAAATTCAATGACTTTATTAAGTCAGTTTTCTCCCCTCTATCAACATACACATCTAAAATAAGTATTGGATTTGAGAGTACTTAAGACTTTTTTCTTTGTTGTATTTACTCCTTAGAGATATCCAGTGGTAGAAAAAACAACACAGAAGTCATAAGAGGTCGCAGTGTTGAAGCAAATCCTAAAGAGGTGCGTTTTCATAATAAACATTTCATGTGTTATATGTCATATTTTCGACTATGCAAAAAGAATAGTGTTCGAAAGGCTTTACTTATTTGTATAAATTAAATGTATGTGCTAAGAGTTATGCTATCACTTGTACTTGCTTATGCAATAGTAATGTTTAAGTAATTTGGCAGGTTCCAGGATTAAGGGAAGTGTCCCTGTTATGTGGTCAAGAGGTATTTTCATGTACTACCTTTCCTCAACCATAGAAACCCATTTTTAGTGGGCCACTAACAATGTTGAAAAACACTACTAATTATGCTATGCCATCATTGTAAGATATTGCTTGACTTCAGCTATAAAATGAGACTTTTTTAAAAACATGTGTTACAGAGTTATTGAAATACAATATGCAACCAGAAACAGACTAGGATAGAGTCAAACTTAGAAAATTAGTCTAATTTAAATCTAGATGTCAATAATGTCCTAAATTTTTTTTTTAATTTATGTATCAACTTACTCTAAAGGGTAGAAGCTAGCATTATGTGCGCTACTTCTGTTGATTAGGTCCAGATTCTGTTGCCTCTAAGTACCTACTCTTAATTCCAGGTTGAAGAGGAAGAAAGGCATATGCCTAAGAGAAAAAGAAAGAAGCATTACCCCTCCTCAGAAGATGAACTGGGTATTTAGAATATATATGTTCCTTTTTTAGATATCTTTGAAAATCATATTATTTTCATATTCAGAAGAATAGACAAATAACAGAATTCTTGAGGGTAGTAACTCTTTACTTCACAACTCTTGAGGCTAATTTGAGGTAGCTTGACTCCACCAGGGTCCTTTCTAGACCTTAATCTAGAAACTAGATTGTTCCCTGCCAAAGACCCAACCACTGAACCTCATATAGCCTCTGTAATGAGGACCTGCCGCAGGTGCCACTGAGCCCTATGCTTTATGGCATGAGCAGATGTCCTACAGAGCTACAAAGGACTTTAGCCAAGTTGCTCGTGTTGCCCCTCGGTGCTTCATACTGTTGATTTTCTTCTGGTCTGAAACAATGCCATCTGATAGAAGTGGCTGTTGAGCACTTTAATTTGCTAATTCATGCAGGAAATTGAAGTTCAAATGTTTCTGGAAAGTCTCTAAGTCTTAACCCCTTTTCATAAAAAATGCTGGTATCATGTGAGTATTTGAGGATTTTTTATGTTATATTTCAATTTGTTTACTTTGTCAGGACCAAATACCAGTTTTGGTGTCAAATCACATGATATTTAAATGCTTTTAGAATAATTTTGCTTCACTGTGTCACATGCCTAAAACAAAGTCTCAAACTGCCCGAAAATAGAACCTCACATTTCGTTGTTCATTTAGCTTTTATTCTTTTGTGATTCTGTCCAAACTGATTTACAGATGATAATTCAGATGTCCTGGATTCCAGAATAGAAACAACACAGAGGCTGTGTTCTGAAACTGAGCCACAAGACACAAAGGTATTTTTTCAACACACTAATTTTAAGTTTGGGGGTAACCTAATAATATCACTGTGAATACTTATGACTTTTTTATTTTAGTGTACCTTTTACTTTATGTATTTCTAACAATAACCAGTTTATTACAAAAGATATATTTTAGTTTCTCCCCTCAACCAAAATGTTACCATTTACAGTTCTTAAACTGCAAGATTGAATTATTATCACAGTTTAGATATAGTGCTTGCTTAGGTTTTTACTGTGTGGTATTATAGTTTTAACATTTCTAGATGCTTTCTTCCAAATTATAATGAGCTTTTATCACAGATAGACTTTGCACCAAAATATTAAAATACAGTGGTACATATTACTTAAACACAGAAATACTTTACCTTCTCTCTAGATTATCTCCTGCCCCTAAAATGCAGGCAGTCCCAGGATCAACTCACCTGCTGCTTTCTTCCCTATGGTCATATTTTTGTCTCGGCTCAGGAAAGCAGCTCACAGATTTTTTTTTTTTTTTTTCCGCACAGTCCTCTTTTATTCTAGGTCTAGATTTACCCATTTCCTATGAGATAACTCTTTGGAGTTCTTCCATTTCTGAGTCCTCTAAAACTTTTCGTTGTGTATACAGACTAGCTCCATCTCCTTCTCTCTTTGCCTACTTATTTTTTTTCCACCCTGTTCCACAAGTATTCGTCAGTTTATAAAAATATGAGCTGACTTTCAGCTGACTGAAACCAGTTCAAAGTCTCTTTCCCCAGTAACTGATGAATTAAATAAAAAGTAGGAAATAGCCAAAGAAGGAAAGTGGCATATTGTCTGAATTTCTATGAATGTGGCCAAGGAAGGAAATTTTTAACCCATTTCTCACTGCACTATCCAAAACAAGAATTGTGCAATAATTATGAAAGAAGCAGTTTGAAAGGTTATCTTTGTTTCCCCTCAATTTCATGTAAGTTTTTTTTAAATACTAAATTTAAGTAATATCTACCAATTATTTTTTTCATTGTTGTAGTTTAAATTGCACAGTGGGGATGGGGATGTAGCTCAATGGTAGAGCCTTTCCCTGGCATGCACGAGGCCATGGGTTTGATACGCAGCACCACAAAAACAAAGAAAAATAAGTTGCACACATAGATAATATTTTCAGTACAAAGAAATAATATTTTCCTACATGAAGAACTGTCTGCAATAGCTTATATCTAATATAATATTCAACATTAATGGTAAACTTTGGACAGTAGGTTGGGAGTAATTTTATCATAGTTTTCTAAAACATGTATGGCAAGACAAAAAAAAAAAAAAAAACTGGATATGTGAAAAACTCCCATCACTGGAAAAATAAAAGTAGGGAATAAAAATTAATTACATGCATGTCATCAGGATCTGATTAAGTATTTAAACCAGCCAAATGTTGACTCTAAAAGAACAATCTCAAGAACAGAAATCAGTCCATCCAAAGTTTGAGAACTTTTGGGCAGCTCATCTTCAGCCACTATATGAGGTATATCAATGTGTAGGTGTTCTGGCTCATAGGAGTTTCTCTCTCTCTCTCTAAGAGGTTCTAGAAAATCACTACATGCATGAGTCTGTGTTGATGAGGTTAGAGCAAATTGTTTGCTCAGGAAAAGACTCTGACTTTCCTAGATGGACTGACCTTCCATTCTGTAAACCAGTGACCTCCCAAACTAGGGGTAGAATAATGGGAAGAAATGGTGGAACTACTATTTTTTTATCTGAAAATTATTTTAAAAATCTCTACTGATACTGTCTTTGTAGTGGAAGTAATAGCAAAGTTTATTAGGGAAGAAATTTAATATAATAGGATAAAAGCAGGGAGAAGTGTGGGAAATCGGAATAAAGACTCAAAAATATCTACTGATGTTTACAGGTTGCTTCTGGTGTCCTCTGACACCATGTTTCAGTCATGCGCTGTAATTGGCTCTCTCGGTCCTTGTCATTCAGTACTTTCAAGGTGTCTTAAGGAATGCTGGGGATTCCACAATACAGGAGACTCAGGGATAACCCACTCATTCATTTGTTCATTTCAACATTTTATGATTATTAGAGTTTATGGATGCTCAATTAGATGAATTTTCAGAGTCTGCGAACCTAATTTTAAATGAATTGACATTTCCAAAATAAGACTGACTTAAGATTCTTGCGAAGAAAACAGAGAGAACATTTATAATGCAGTTGCAAACAAACAATAAGAGAAACACCTACGCTGACACTTTTATTACTAGGAGGTACATAAATTCTTTGTCATTCTCATTACTGGGCAAAACAAATCAGACATGAGGTGAGCCAAAATATTTAGATGCTTTAAAAAGACCTTGAAATGTGGATATCATGTGGATGTATTTGCTTTTGTAGTCACACCCCTTCAAGTTCCTGAAAAGCTACCGCAAAACCCAGTGACATTGGGTGTCTCTATGAAGGGAAGGCAGTGGAGCCCTTTTTAGTTTTGAGCAGGAGGATCCATTAAAAAAAAAAAAGTAGAATTAAAAGTAATAGAGTTGGGGGAGTGTTGCTCAGTGGTAGTGGTAGAATGTTTGCCTACACTGGGGATGAAACGAAGCCCCAGGTTTCATCCCCAGCTCCAGAAAGAAAAAAAAAAAAAGGAAATGAGGACTTATAATGGACCACTAAAGAAGTAATTTAAGTAAAGTTAAAAATAAAGAAGTGAGTATTTGCATTTATGAATAATAGACCATTAAAGAGGTAAAACTAAAACTTTAGTTTTTGAATTGCTCTTGATCCCATACTACTTTAATTTATATAATTTGTTTATATACTGTATTAGTGTTATACTTTATAAACATTTTGACATTTCATGTTCAAAACATTTTTGTGACTAAAGGTGAATAATTTAACTGTGAAGGTCACTGCTCTAAATTAGCATATACAAATCCCCAGAAATTCTCTTTGGCACCTTTCACTTTATCCCTTCCCCCTACCCCCAATCCTTCCCCTCCACCACTCCACAAAGAAATCTATTGCCAGTGCCTTGCACTTTTTCCTTCGAAGCTTCTTCAAAAAGACAAAGTCCATTTTGCGGGAAAAAAAAATCTTGGCTTTCCTATCCGAACCTGATCTCATGCTTTTCTGCCTTCAGAAATTTTATCTCCAGTCCTAAATAGCAGCAATAATGGTTTTTTTTAAGGGGGCAGGGGTGGGGAGTGGGATTTAAATAAACCATTCTGAACAAACAGCTAAGAAATTGTTTCTGAAGAAAACTTTGAGGAGGATAAATGGAGGCAGTGTTAAGTTTAAGAAAGAAACCTCTTGTCTTTTTCAACTTCTCTATAGAAAGAGAACTCTGGAGATACAGAGGAACAGTCTAAAACAAGCCCCAAGACAAGCAGCAGTGCTTCAAGGGCCATGGAAGAAAAAGGTGAGTGAAACTTCTCAGGTATATTGAGAGGCTGAGCCTTCAGAGTGCCAGCACCCCTGACTGAGCTTCACCAGCTGGAACATCTGCTCTGCGCATTTGCTTTCACTGTGTAGTACAGTACCTCCTGCTTAAGATTAGTGAGGTCTGGGATTTATTTTCAATTTGAATCCTACTCTTCTCAAAGTGTGCAACTTCTCAGTTAACCAAACTTGTACTTATGATGGGGAGGCATGTAAATGAAGCCTATGTAGCAGCGACTGTGCGGGTCCCCCGAGTAAGTTCCCCCAGGCAATGGTGGAGACTGGACTGAACATGGTCACTAGCACTGCACTGAGCTCTGCCTTTTCTGCAGATGAATTTAGCAGCAGTGAGGCTACTGGTGAAAAGATGGAGCAAAATGAAGATGATATCATCAAATCACAGGAGGTGAAAACTGGCTTTCATGTTTATTTGTTCAGAATGACTACCAAGTATGTAAATACCACTAAATACTTTTGAAAGATGGTTTGGTTTGGTTTTTTTAGTTTTGTTTTGTTTTGTTTTGTTTTTAGTGCAGAGAAACACTATTTTGTACAGTACATTTTATCAATGTCATTATGATTAATCTTGTTCATTTCATCTTTGTTTCGTCAAAACATTTGTAAGAGACCTACTTATGTCATGATTGCACAGGGTCAGTCCAGCACTATGCCAATGGCAATGGCAGGTCCCTGTTCTGACAGCTTAGCACTGTCAACAGCAGGAGGCTGCCTGGGCCATAGATTCTAGTAGAGAAACGGAAGCAGCATCAGGGAAGGAGACCCAGGTTCATGTGGAAAGGTCATGGGCTCCCTAGGAGCTGCAAATGCCGGCAGACCATCCTAGAACTGCCACTCTAGGCCCTTCAGCTTTCCAGGGAGCCTGTGGGACAGAGGATAGCAGTGGCCTGAGACAGAGCCCCTTAAATCCAGGAACATAATCTGCCACTAGCTAAGCTAGGTAACCATTCCTCAGTTTGCCAGGTTTTTAATGGTTCTTTTTGTTTCCTCATCCTCCTATATGAGAAATTCCATGGATTCCTTTTTTTTTTTATAAGAGATAACATTTGGTCTCAATTAACTTGAATTAAGTCCTACAGATAGTAGAGTACACATAGTGCTTAAGAGAAGTAGGAGGCAACACTTACTTCCATTACCTCATTGTTTCGTTATCCTCAGGACTGTGAAGTCATACAATAGTTACCCATACTTAACCATAGAAGGAAAATACAGCAAAAGAAATAAAACACTATGCCAATGTCACATTATTTTTTAAGTGACAAAGCTGGGATTTGAGCCCTCTTAGGGCTATAAATCTCATTTTGAGGAAATAAACTATTATTACAGTATATTAAAGGATGAAATTATTCTTTTATTGCTGGGTTTTCTTTTCATTTCCCCCTTAGGAAGATCAACCGATAATTATTAAAAGGAAAAGAGGAAGACCTCGTAAATACCCTGTAGAAGCAGTGTTAAAAATGAGTAGGTATTTTGGTATATTTTCAATTCACCCACAAGAAATTTTCAAACTCATTTTCTAAGTGAGTTCTGTTTTGTTTTTTTAATAGAAGATGACTTCAAAACAGATACTGGCATTATCACTGTAAGTAATTGCAAAACAATGAGAAAAGAACCCTTCACATACTTGCTCTTGACCTGCAAATGATATAATGCAATGCCTAGTATTTTCACTATTCTATTTTTTTAAATACTTGAAAAGCTTTTAAAGACTTTTTTAAATAAAACATAGGATAATCATTCAAATAAGATTTTGATTTGTAGTATCTTTATATAAACAAAACTATATTAATTCTTTAGTTTCTTCCATCCTTACTTAGGAGTTTGATTATGTAAAATCATGTAGAGACTTATAGTTTTATATTATCCATGGTTAAAAAATAGAGATTTCTATTTTAGATGATTTTGTACCTTTTTTTGGATAATCATTCAAATAAGATTTTGATTTGTAGTATCTTTATATAAACAAAACTATATTAATTCTTTAGTTTCTTCCATCCTTACTTAGGAGTTTGATTATGTAAAATCATGTAGAGACTTATAGTTTTATGATTATCCATGGTTAAAATATAGAGATTTGCTATTTTAGATGATTTTGTACCTTTTTTTTGGGAAGTACTGGGGTTTGAACTTAGGGCTCCATGCTTGTGAGGCAGGTGCTCTACTGTTGGAGCCACACTTCTTTTTGTGTGATTTTTGAGGTAGTGACTTTTTAGGGAGACCTCTGACCTTTGGAGTGTCTTTCTATCTTACTACTTTCTGTGGAGTTGTTTTTATACTAAAATGTGCACTGATTTCAGTGCAGGAGAATCTTCAGTAATACTTTATCATTTTGAACATTATTTTTGACCCTCAAGTGTATACCCAATGCAATTTTTATCAAGATTTCATTTCATGCAGTTCAATGCAGCACTATAAGGAGGACAGACATATGTACACTGACCTAACAAAAGCAAAAAAAAAGCACGTGGGATTCAAACCTCAGCTTTGCCACTTATTCCCAGAACTGTGACTCATGGCCAGTCATCTAACCCTCTGGATTCTCAGTTTCCTTGATTATAAAAGTGTTATACCTATACTACTTCTCTCATAGAAATATTATAAGACAACAAAATTGGAGAACCACATATGAACGTATTTCTCAACATGGGAGATGGTTTGCTGGCCTTGGAAAATAGTAACAACCTTGGCCATGCTGTGATGCCTCCAACGCTCATCCTCCAGTGTCACAGCAGAGTGGATGGGAAAGAAGCTTGGGGCAAAGACTGTTCAGAAGCATAACCATCCACATTTGCTGGATATACTTGACTACCTACAGAAAATAGGCTCCAAACATTCTGTCTACTTGATAAACAAAGATCTTAAACCTTTACATTATTGGTTGCCTTTCTGTGTCATAAACTGCTGACTTCAATTTTTTTGTTTGCTTAAACTTAGGTAGAACAATCTCCACCTAGCAGCAAACTGAAAATACTACAAACAGGTGTGTTCCTCAGCATTTTTCTGTGTATAATCTAAGGAATTTGGTGTTTTTTCAGATCATACACAAGAAATTTTCAAAGTGATTTTCTAAGAAAGTGATTTTTTTCTCTCAGTGAGCACGTAGGTTGGCTATTAGGGAAGGTTTTAGGTTTTTGTTGTATTTCTCAATGAAATGAGTGGGCTCATGGGTAAAAACAATCGTCCTTATTACTATCACAGACTATACATTTGTCTTTTTGTGTGGTCTGATCCTTTCTCAGTTAAAGAAATCTGGTCTGGGAAGCCTTCATAGAAGATGGTAGAGGCAATAGAAAGCAAAATAATGAAAGCATTTATATAATTACACCCATTCAACTGCATTGCATTGTCCAAATCATATTTTGCTTGATTTGTTTAGGGAAGAAAACACTCAGCCTAGAATTAGGCACTGTTGTCATGAGGCAGAAATTCAGCTCAAGAGCCTACTGTTCTTAGAGGAGTAATAATATTTAAAATAGCCTGTGTAACTTACAGAGCCTAGGACTAAAGAGATGAAATTTTTCAGGTATTTTTATCCTCATTCCAAGGAGAAAAATAAATACTCCAAGATGTTGATAATGATTGCCTCGGGATGCGAGAATGATGGGGACATTCTTTGTTATTTAGTCTGTTGAATGCATTTGCCACATTTTTAACAATATGTATATATTTTGTGTTTAAAACGTTTTTTATATAAGCTGGGCACCAGTGACTTGGCCTATATTCCTAGATAGTTGGGAGGCTGAATCAGGAGGGTTGCAGTTCAAGGCCAGCCTGGGCAAATAATATCTGGGACCCCAAAATAGCCTGGGAGAAATGACTGGAGGCATGGGGCATGGCTAAAGCAATAGAGCGCCTGCTTTTGCAAGTGTGAAGCCCTGAGTTCAAACCCCAGTCCCTCAATAAATAAATAAATAAATAAATGCATGAGAGCAACAATAGCCATTGATGGACTTTCAAGGATTGACATAGCAAAAAGGATGGCTGAATATAACAGCTATTTTGTATCAAATAAATAACATGGTCAGTTTAGGAAAATCTGTATCTTGATTGACAAGAAAAGCAAATATGTAAAACTGCATATAATATTTTTCACATTTATCTGTGTGTATTTCCTGTCTCTTGGTATTTTTTTTAAAAGGAGGGCATATCCTGCTTGTTTGTTTTTGAACCCAATTTACTCATAATTTTATAATATTTTAAATCATATAAGAAATCTTCATAATGAATACCCTTTAAAAACTAGCTGTGTGATCATGCTGTGGGATTGTAATTTGACAGTAATTTTCTGAATCTGGGTAATGATGACTAGTTAAAGGCAGACTTCTCTGTTGACCTTTTTATTAACTTTTCTAATTTCATTAGTATATTGAACTCACAGAAAAGGAAAACTACTACAGTCTTCCTCACTAATTAGAAGTGCTTTTGACTTTTTGAGTGTCTTAAGAAAGATGTCCATAAATTATGGGCAAATAGCTTCAAATAGTGCTTCTTACTAAGTTATATTCTTGGAAAATTGTAACATCTACAGCAAACAAATGGGTAAAAGAAAAATAGGCATACACAATTTATGAACAGGATCATAATATGTACTTTTTTAGTTGCCATGATGGAAATATTTGAAGCAAAAAGAATTCCAGCTATCACTCTTGTTTGTTAAACAGTTTTGTGACTTTGAACAAATTAGGAAAATCGAGTTACTCAAGCATGGTTTTCCTGATTGTAAGCTGGGATTGTAATATTTATAGAGCCACATTGAGACTTCAAAGAACTGTAGGTTAAGCATTCCTAATCTGAAATCCAAAATGCTTAAAAATCTGAAACCTTTTCTGTTGCCAAAATGACAAGTATAAAATTTTACACCTGACCTCATGGAATGGTTCACAGTCAGAACACAGATGCATTAAAAATAATACATAAGATTATATTCTGTTTATGTGTATAAGATGTATATGAAATGTAAATGAATTTTATGTGTTAAAAGTGGGTCCCAACACCAAGATATCTCATTATATATATGCAAATATTCCAAAATCTGAAACCCTGGTGCCAAGCATTTTAATAAGGAATCCTTAGCCTGTGTGTCATCCTGACCTGCAGTTCCTGGTGCATCTCACTGTGCCCTCCTCATACCTTTCCTCCTCCCTTCCGGGGTTCAGAGCATTTGAGCTTAAAGAGATAATAAAGGTAGTCTAATAGTGTAACCCTGCTCCTCATCTTACAGATGGAACCCTGAGAATCTGGGAGTGTAAATGATCCACCTAGATCATGCAGTTCTTTGTTGCACATCTGAAATGAAAACTTCAGTTTCCTGACTTATATTCTGAAGTATTCTCTGCTCTGGATTCTGATTTCAGTCTTTACTTGACTGATAAAAAACATAATGAATTGCATTACAGTGTATTAATTAGAATTGGTACATTGACAGATAACAAGCCAGTCTAACTGTTGAAATTAAATTTTACACAGTAATAAAGAATTTATACAGAAATTGCTTTATTTTTTAAAGATGAGTCCAGTAAAGAAACAGCCAACCTACAAGAAAGAACTATAAGCAATGTAAGTATTGGTTTTCTTATGAAGATACATCCTTTAGAAAAAAATTTAACAAATGCTCAGTTAGCCATCATTTCAACTTTAATTTTATTACATCTAGGATGATAGTGAAGAAAGAACAGTAGCTAGTGTGCGTCGGAGGGGAAGAAAACCCAAACGTTCACTCACTCTGTCAGATGACACTGGTATGTCTCCAGCACATTCTTAATTACAGTCTTCCTATTTCAAAAATCACCCTTTTTTCTGAGTTTTTCTTTAGATAAAGAAAAACCCATTGTGGTACAGCCAGTATTAATATTACATAAATATGTGTGAAATAGCTGTAATCCCGTGTCAGAAATGGTACATTCCAGATGTTTTTATGAGTACATATGAATTTTTCACAAATGCTTGCTGTGAACGGTATAAGTAAACTATCCCAAATGTGTTTGAGATTAAGTTAAACAGTTGTGAATTGCAAGTGCTGAAACTAAAAGGAAGTGGAAAACCACTTCTACTGCCTCCAAGTCCCTAATATCCTAAGTTCTACCATGACTCTCCTTTGGAAGCACCTTTGGCAGTTGTAAAATCCAGGTGTTACCCTTCTATCTGCACAGAATCCTCAGAGCCAGAAAGAAAACGCCAGAAGTCAGTTTCTGAAGCAACCGAAGACAAAAAAGATCAGGAGTCTGATGAGGAAGAGGAAGAAGAGGAAGAGGATGAGCCCTTGGGAGCTACCACAAGATCCACCACCAGATCAGAGACACAGAGGTAATGGGAGCAGCTCTGGGTTTCATGGGATTCTCTTTGAAATGAATTGCTTCCGCCCCATTGGAAACCCATTACTTCAGCCCTCTGCCATCTGCGTCTTCTTGGAGAGGCTATTTTCTATCTTAAACTATTTTGAGGATCACTTCAGAGGCTTTGCCAGGTTTTAAATTCTTGTTTGATGGAACCTATCAATTCTTTCACAGATATTTTTTGATCATCTATTAAGTCTCAAACACTGTGTGAGCACAGAGATACAGAAAACACTGGTCCTGTACTCAGCATACTTATTCCTAGTGAGCAATGAAATCAGGTACTTCATTGTCATCACATGCATTCATCCTAGAAAGCTGTCCAAATTTGAGCACTTTTTACTTATGTAAATGGTAATTCCATATGTTTGCCAAAGTGTGTTTTCTGATACCCTAGTAGAGTCAGAAGCCTTTGGGTGGGGGAAAGGAGTACCATAGTCAGACAACTTTGGAAAAGCCAGTCACAATATACATTAAAATATTAAAGGCTTGGCAAGGCCCTAAAGGAGGGAAATTTGCTTACTTTTTTTAAACAGGAAATATTTATCCATTTATACCCCTCCCGCCCTCCACCAGCCTGCTAATACCAACCAGTGTTCCTTTCCTCACTACACATTTTAAGAAATGCTGTATGGCTAGATAGTCTCATCCTAATAGTAATTTTTCCAGTGCAAGAATATTTTCCATTTTTACTGTGATTCAAAAGCTTTTAATCTTGGCATAATCTTCTATAATTTCATTATTCAAAAAGTTCAGGAATGTTTGTTTCAAAAGTATCACAGTTAAAACCTGTCACCATAATATAACAGTAATAGTGTCTTAAAATTAAATAAACATTTAAAATCAACCTCTTTCTAATTCCTTGGAACTTATACGTTACTAGCCTTTAGTGCCATAGTTTGATTTCTCAAAGAGGCCAGTTTTAAAGACAAACAACTCAAGAAGCTCACATGACTAAAGGTAAACTGAGACAAATAGAAGTCATGGAGTCAAGATTCCCTGTTATAGGAGAGGATGAGCATGGTAGAACCCAGTACTGCTGCATTCGGGTGCATCATTCCTCTTCCCCCCGCCCCACCACCACCACTGCTCCCCTCATACAGTCATGGAAAGGTCATCCCATACAGTGAACTCAACAGAGAGAAAGCCCCAGAGGCCTCCTAGCTATCTTCTAGTGAGTATCCATAATCAGCTGTCAGGCTTGCCTTTAAAAATTACTCCTTAAAATAAGTTATATTTAATTCACATAACTTAATAGACACCTGGATTATCACTGTCCTTCCTCGATGTACTTTAGGAACTTTTCATTTATAAATGGATTTTTTTTTTCTCTTTGGCTTAGATTCCTTGGCATTGGTTGATTAGTTCCAGGGTTCTGCCATTTTGGTAATTTTTTCATAGGTCCTTGGAGTTGGATGTGCTCTGTGTGCCACTAGCCCATCACTGCCTGAACTATTGCACCAGCAGTTCTTTGACCTGGTCTTCCTACTATTGCCATTCCTTAGGGGTGGGCACACTACCTCGTCCTTGGCATTTACCACCTGTGTTCAGGAGAAGCCAGCTTCCCTAGAGCATCTACTCCTGGGGCTGTTACATAATTTTCCAAATTTTCTGTTATTGTTTTGAGCCTCCCTGTCATCCCTGTTTGCTGTCTTCTGTTTATATCCTCTTTACAAAGCAAATGTTCTAATTACATTCTGGTAAATACAGAAGAGTATTTCCCTGCCTGGTCTTCTAGATACTGTTCAGTATGCATCCAAATCAGAGTTGCCTCAAATTAGATCATACAAAGCCTAGCAGGTCCTTTATCTGAACATTTTTATTGATAAGTCTTATCTTCCCTTATCTCATTTCTTTCTTGCATGGTTGACTACTGGGGACTTAACATTTAGCCCTGTGAATTGTGCTTTCCTTAATCTTGGCTCCTTAGTCTATTCTGATGAGCCCTTTTGGTATGTTTGTCAGCCAGTATGTTTTCTGTTTTTCACAGGTTCATCTTTTTCTAAGTTACAGTACAATATGCACAGGAAAAGCAAAGACAGTCATGCAAGTAGAGTTAGACCTGGATGACATCGAGGTCTGCTTATTAGCAGTGGTCAAGAAAGCCATCTGTTTCTCCACTTTGGGTACTCATTGCTCTGTCTTACCCAGAGTATCCTCATCTTTTCCAGTAGTCCCACAGCCTGAGAATTCAGTGCTACTATTGTCCAGTGTTTTATAATCTGTTTCAGAAAGCATCATAGCAAGCCATCTGCACGTGCAACATCCAAATTTGGCAGCCCAGAAACAGTTTCTCCTAGAAATCGTCAAAAGTTAGCAAAAGAGAAGTTACCTACCAGCGAAAAAGTTAGTAAGTCTCCCCCATTAGGAAGGTAAGTCCCTGCTCACACTTCAAGTCATGTTTAACTCCCTGAGACAATTTTTAGTGCAGTAATGCTTTCTTCCTAATTTCTTTTTTAAGGTTTTAGTCTCACCAGATAACTGTCTTTGGGGATCATTGGTTTCCACAAGGACAAGGAAGGGCTATAAAAGATGTCTTCAGTGACTTCACCATGTGGCCTGACCACACAGGCTTGTCCTTGACACCTGTGAGCCTTATCTGCTGGCTCTTGTCTACCAAGGCTGAAAGTGAAATGTGTTTCTTCCCAAGTGGTCATAGTTCTAAACCGGTGAAGTCAGCATGAGGTGGTAATGCATATAACAATCCAGAATCATTTCTGGTTTAGCCCAAGTATTGCAGAGGTGACGAGGTAACAAAACACAGCACGCCTTTCAAACACAGCCCCCTGCTAGCTTGCACCTTCCACTGCAGCCTCATTCACATCTGCTTTCCATAGATAGTGTGAAGTCCCACTTCCTTGCCTCTGCTTGTGGTAGTGAGGTGTGTCCTGGCCACTAGCCCACAGTAAGCCAGGTCCTTCCCTCCTTCAAGCTCTTCTTCAGAGTGCCTTCTCCACCTGGTTCACCCTGTCCTTATCTCTCCTTCCTGTTGCACTTTCTATCAGTACAGAACAGTTATGAATGGCTTATGGTGTTGTTTTAGGTAGCCTAGTTTTATTTTCCTCTCTGAAGTATAAGTTTCTTTCTTGAGATTAGGAACTTGTCTTACTTTCTGTACACCATAGCATTCAATAATAAAGATGATTCAATGTATACAATAATTGTTCTGGTAACTCTTGTCACATTCTAATTTTCACAGCATACTTATAATATATGTGTACGTTCTCAGCCCTGTGTGTTGGAAAGGAAAGGAATGGAAATTATTCTCATGCCCATTAGGTGAAGTGTAATATTTATCCTTACTTTATTTATTTGTGAAGGGAAGAATCTCAGGAAGATCGGGGTGCATTCTTCTCAACATTTGGTGAACAGAGCAATCACCTGGAGGAAATGCAGATTGTGATTATTGGTGGGGGAGGAGGGTGCCTTAGCGTCTGCATAGCTAACAGACTCTCCAGTTTGGAAAAAGGGAAGTGGCTGGATGAGCTACCACACTTTCACAGCAAGGAAGTGACCGTTACAGCTCGGCTCCCAGCACACACACAGCATTGCTACAATAAGTGGGTATTCCCTGCATGGCCAATGGCTTTCCATGGGCACAGCTATTAAAAAATACTGCTTCTTAGCCATTCTCAACACATTCATAGATAACATGTCAGACCTACATCATCTTCAATAATATTAGATTCAGTGTAACTTTATTTACTTTTGCTGTCAAAGGAACAAATAAGCAAAAAATGTCTTCCACCAATAAAGGTCCATTTTTCCTTCTTCACAATTTTAGTTTTCCAAGTCTTTTAATTCATTGGCAAGACATTTACTGCTTATTTACCACATACTGAGCTCTGTTCTAGGAGTTAGAAAAATAAAGTCTTAGCAGCCACCTTGGGGAAACATCTTGTCAGATGGGTAATAGAAGAGAGAGATAGATATATGTGATAAGACTTTCATACTTTTTCTACAGCAGCCCTCAATAGGCATATATTTAGCAATATAACACATTCCTGCTGCTGTAACTGAGGCAAAATTTTAATGAGCTCTACTTGATAAGAGTGGTAACAGTGGTATTCCCATGCTCTAATTGTTCCTTTAAAATACTGATTATAACCTACAGTGTGAAATCACAAAAGATCAGTTACAGTGGTAAGTGCTATGGTGACGGTCCAAAGTACGATGGGATTTGCATAAGGAGCAGCTTGCTCTGTGATGCAGATGGCTTCTCAGAGCAATGATTTTTGAATTAGTGTTTTAAAATAAAGAATTTGGAAGAGCCAGGTGCTGTGGCTCACGCCTGTAATCCCAGATACTTAGGAGGCAGAGATTGGATGACCTTAGTTCAAGACCAGCCCAGGCAAAAAGTGAGCCAGACCTCATCTCTAAAAACAAACTGGGTATAGTGGTGCACTCTTACAACCCAACCACTCAAGATACATAGTAGCATCTGGTCCAAGGCCAGCTCCGAGCAAAAATGCTTGGGATCCTTTCTGAAAAATAACTAAAGTAGAAAAGATCTGGAGGTGTGGTTCAAATGGTAGAGTGCTTTCCTAGCAGTTGCAAAGGCTCTGTTCACACCCAAGTACCACCAAAAAGACAAAAATAAACATGAGGCCCTGAGTTCAAACCCCAGTACCACAAAAAAAATAATTTGGTCAGTTGGGTGGTGTTTTTTTCTTAAAGTCAAAAAAAAAAAAAAACAAAAACACAGTCACATGTCAAATGTGAAGATGTCAGACAGCATTTGTTTGGAAGTGGCAACACTTTGGCAATACTATAGTCCAGCTGCGTGCAACAGTAGAGCTTGTAATACAAATGACATTGTGTGTTGTGCTCTAGATTGCTTAATCCTGGAACCTGCAGAAAGCCAGCAAGATTTTAATTTCTCTAAGAGCAGTAACATGATTGATTGGCCAGTAGTTCTGATGACAGCCTAGAAAATAGAGATAGGATTGTGACATGGGGACATTGGTTAGAATGTTCTTCTAAATTCCTAACACTGCCAGCTGTCTTCTCTAACATTATGTACTATGAAACGTACACTTGGTCAGGTTATAATCTGCTGTGTTCTTGTTAGTTGCTTCAACTGGAGACAGTGTGTATATAGAGTTATTTTCTTTGTTGTTGTTATTGTGGGTTTTGTTTTGTTTGGAGGGTTTTGGTAATGGTGATACTGGGGTTTAAATTCAGGGCCTTGTACTTACTAGGCAGGTGCTCTGCCAACTTGAGCCATACCCTCAGCCTTTTTTTTGCTTTAATTATTTTTCAGATAGGATCTCAAGTCTTTGTCCAGGGCCAGCCTCAGACCATGATCCTCCTACCTTTGCCTCCTCATAGCTAGGATGGGATGACAGGCGAACGCAACCATGCCTGATTTATTGATTGAGATGGGATCTCAATAACTTTTTGCCTAGGCTGGCCTCAAACCTGATCATCCTGATCTCTGCCTCCTGAGTAACTGATTACAGGTGTGAGCCATAGTGCCCAATTATGTCTTTGTTTTGTGGATGGAATGAGAGCCCAGAAAAGGAAGCTGATGTCACCAAAGTCCAAACACCTGGAGGTGGTAGGGCAGAAATCAGAGCTCAGGGTTTAGTGCTTCTTCTCTTGGGACCTGTGCTTGTGTTCAGGGTGTCAGCAAATAACCAGTTAGCTCAAACTTCTTTTCTGTGTAAGTATTACTGGGGTTTTCTCATAGTAGTCAAGTTAAAAACTCTCCCAGTTTTTTTAGAAGAGCTCCCAAATTATTTAAAGCAGCTGCTTTTAACTCACCATTGCCTCAATTTTGCTTAATGCAGATCAAAGACACAGCTCTCCCCTTCTACCAAGCGTAAGAGAGAAGTCAGCCCTCCTGGGGCCCGAACAAGAGGTCAGCAGAGAGTGGAGGAGGCCCCTGGGAAAAAGGTGAAGCGATAATCCTGACTGCCGCTGCCCCTGGCTTTCTGAGGAACATGGTGAAGAGAAAAGGGATAGGCCTCAGGAGCCAGAGGCTTTAAAACAGAACAAAACAAAAAATCCAGAAAAGGGTATGCATGTGCTGTAAGTTCCTAGGTGCAAGCTTTTTCTTGTTGTGTTTTAAACAGCTTTATAAACTTGTTCATAGAAGATATTATGTACATCTATTTCAGATAAAGAAAAATAAGTTTACTTTGTATCTGAATTCAGCAAAGTAGTTGTATATTTTAACATTCAAAATTGGGATTTCCCAATGAGACACATCACTAATGCAAACCTTCCAGCCCATCAGACACCAGGCTGCCTCCTGGTGATCTGTGTAAAGTATATAAACATGTAAAAATAGGTTGTATTTTACTCTATGTATGATGCTAATCAATGAACACTTTATTTATTTTACAGAGAAATCTTATCTGTGAACTTTACTATATATCTGTTTATTTTATTTTATTATTTTTTTTAATAAAAAAAGGATTTTAAATGCTATGCAGTCATTAAGTAGAAGATTTTTTAGAATTCTGCCTGCCTATAACTATTTGAATATGATCTGGCAGGAAATACAGAATCTCTCGCATGTATCCAAGTAAAGTAGTTTAGCTAAAGAAAGGGTCTCCATTGCTTTTTTGTTCACAGTTGTGACAGTTTTCTAAGAATGTAACTGCTTTTAGATTATACTTGCATCTGTGACTTTACCACTAGCCCCACTGATGTAAGAAATTCTGGTTCAGGTAAAGTTACACCCATTCACCTGCAAACGGAGCTCCTCTGTTGGCATTCATTCCTCTCCTCTGTGCCATTCGGAAGCTTCCACCAAGATTTCCATGTTGTCTTTTTTGGTGAAGAGAAATGCATTGAAGATTAGGTCACTCCTATCTATTCAGCTTCAGGATTTTATGTTGTTTTATACAGTTATTTCAAGATAGAAACTGGTTTTATCACCAGGTTCTTTTTTAAACATGTTTTAACTCCCATGTGAACAAACTGTCTAACTTAAGTTTTTCATAAAATTGAACTTTTCTTAAGGTCAAGTTTGTCTCCTGATGATGTGATGAGTTGCCAAATGATTGAGATTATTTTAAAATGTTTTGTTCTGTACTCTTGTTTTATAATTAAAATTGACATTCAGTGTGTGGGGTTTTTGTTGTTTTTTTTCTGAGGGGGGGTTGTTTTATTTTGTTTTCACTCTTAATGTAAGGTGATATTCCTGTCATTTTACATGGTTTCTTACTGAGATTTTATATATAAATTATAAAGTGTTTCCCTAAAACTTGAGTGGTATGATTTTTTTTTCCCCATGTTTTAAATTTTTATCTAGGACCCATTTCTTTTCTCCAGTAATTGGTCTTAGATATACTGTTCCATTTTCACATTCAAATATGTGTCAGTAATTGCCTCTCACTTGGTACTGAACTCTAGATCCAAGAAGAGATCTTAGGAATAAGACCGTGTGAGTTTCTCCTTTTTATTTATATGAGTGAATTTTAACCAAAGCTCAAAAATCTGTTTGTCTTTAAAGTCAGTCAATGGTAAAAGCCAGACTAGGTTCCAAAGCTCCTGTTTTCTTGAGTAACAGTGTTTGCACTGGTCAGTTTTAGGTTGGTTAACCAGCAGTGCACACCTGAAAATGGAAGAGTTTAGAAACCCTCCCAGCATTGAGAAATCAATACTGTCAGTTTAGGGCACTGCAGTGGGCATGACCTTGGAGAGACTGAGAAAAATGGGGTTATAAGGAAACAATGCCTCTTTATAAAACTGGAACTAAGTAGTGGAACTGCATAAAGAAATTTCTGGTGTGGGAGTTACCACTTAGTAATTTCCATAATTCTGAAACTCTAGCAGAAAAAAGATACAACCCCCAAAGTAGCAGTTCTTGGTTGTCATGGTTTCATACTACTAACAGTTAATAGAGGGAGGGAAGTTGGAATGTGAAGCATCCTACCTGACAGGATAGTCCTACGATCCAGAAAAAGAGCCAGCCCCTCTAACCCACTAAGAAACATTTGCTGACTGTCTCTAAATTTGTCATTTCCCTGGTCTTGCTACTTGTCACCAACTCACTACATCTCAGTGACTGACCTGAACCCTTGCCCATCTGCTTTCCCTGTCACAAAGCCTTGACAAAGCTGAGATACTCAAGTGAGACTCACTAAGGGTAGCTGTGCCCATTACTGCTGGCAAAGTGACCCAAGCATGTCTAATTCCTCTTCACTGTGGTAATCTATGACCATAGTCCTTCATTCCTACTTCAGGCCTCTTTCCCCATCACCTATACTTTAATACCAGACCCTACTGAATTTTGCCATATCCACTCCAAGTAAAAATGGCCAGCATGTAACACTCCTCTTCCCAAGGACTTCTCACAGTGAGGTGGTGGCAAAGGGAGACAGAACTCATCTCCAGCCCCCAGGCCAGAGGGCTCTTTCTACTGCCTGTGGGAGGGAGCCACTGAACTTTTTCCCTCCGCAGATGTCACAGCCCTTAAGATGGGGATGGAACAGAGCTTTCCCCCAAGAGTCTGTAACTGACAGAACCTAATGGATTTGAGAGGGAGATGGTCCTAACTGGAAGAAGTGCGCTGAAAATTTGTTTTCTTGCTGTTTGTTTTGAGTTTAGTTTGGCTGCTTAACCATCTTTGTATGATTATATCAACAGCAGGTATTTTTGATACTACACTGACAGAGACACTCCCTAAGGAAAAAAGTCATTTTACTGCCAGTACTTTTTCCCCCTTAGAGACTGTTGTACTTGGAAAATACACCTTTGCTGAGCTCCCACCATATGCCCAACACTAGAGGCCCAAATATGAACCCACATCTCAAGGAGTGACACCCACGTGAAGCAAACTGCACGTTTGCACATACGATCCAGAAAGATAGCCAGCTCCGCTAACCCACTGAGAAACATTCGCCGACCGTCTCCAAATTTGTCATTTCCCTGGTCTTGCCGCTTGTCAGCTGCCACCACCTCACTACATCCAAATGAACATTCCAGATACGCTGCACAGATAGATGTCTGCTCACAGGTTAGCAAGGGAGAGAAGATCATCTTTTTGAGGAGAAGCAAAGGGAGCAGACGGAAGGAGTTGGATGGGTTGGGGATAAGTACACAATAGAGCTTCAAGCAAAGTTTGGAACCTAGAAAAGAGCATTTTGGAAGCTGAGAAACAGGGAAGACTGGAGACAGTGAGTGCTATTTTTTCCACCAAGTCAACCTTCCAGAAACTTCCTGGAGAGAATCTCTGTCTGCTCTGCTTCCTGACTGCCATGAGTCGAACAGTTCTGCTCTACCCCAGTTGCCCAGCCACAAGGGACAAAACCTCTGAAAACATGAGCACCATAAATCCTTCCTCCTTTAAGTTGTTTGTGTCAGGCACTTTGTCACAGCTACTAGAAAAGTCTGATTAATACAGTGCACATTTGTGAAGTGACCACAGTCAGGCAATTAACACAGCACCCACATAGTTGCATGTGTGTGTGTTGAGAACACTTTAGATCTCCTCTCAGCAAATTTCAAGCATACAGTATGGTATCATTAACTGTAGTCCCTGCGCTGTAGATTACTCTCCACACATTACTCTTTGTCTCTCCATTCCCCTACCCTCAAGCCTCTGGAAAACACTATTCTATGCCTACTCTTATGCGTCTGCTTTACACAGACTCTGCTTCTGCGAGCCTGATTTAGATAACGCTCAGAAGTGAGACAGTTTTTTTATGTCTCTTTTCACTTACCATGTTTCCTGGCTTCATCTATGTCAGAAATGACAAAATTTGATTCATTTTAGTGCTAGAATAATATTCCATTGTAAATACACACACACACACACACATACTCATTCAACTGTCAGTGTACATCTTGGTTGATTTCATATCTTGGCTGTTGTAAATAGTGGTTCATGAAAGTACAGGTATCTGATAAAATGATTCCATTTCCTTTGAACATATATTCAGTAGTGGAATTTTTGGATAACATGGTAATTCTAATTTTGGGATCTTTTTGAGGAATCTCCTGTTTTCCATAGTGGACTAATTTATACTGCCAACAGTAAATCCTTTCCACCATTTGTTATTTTTTTTGTCTTTTTGATAATAATCATTCTAACTAGGTTAAGATGATATCTCATTGTGTTTATATTTTCCTGCTGATTAGAGATATTGAACTTTTTTTCATATTTTGGGGTTTTTTTGTATATCTTCCTTTGAGAAATGTCTTCAGATCATTTGCCCATTTTTTAATTGGATCATTTAAGGGTTTTTCTATTGAATTGTTTGAGTTTCTTACATATTCTGGATATTAATCCTTTGTCAGATGAATACTTTGCAAATATTTTCTCCTGTGAGCTGTTTCTTCACTCTATTGATGATTCTTTCACTGTACAGAAGCTTCTTGATTTGACATAATCCCATTTGTCTGTTTTTATTTTTCTGTCTCACTCAGCATGATGATATGCAGTTCCATCCTTTTCCCCCTGCAAGTGACATGATTCCATTTTTCTTTATGGCTGAGTAATATTCCATGGCATATATGTATGTGTAAATATTTTTTTCTTTACCCATTCATTGGTTGTTTAGCTTGTTGACTGATTCCACAGTGTAGCTATTGTGAACAGAACTGCAATAAACATGGGTATGCAGGAATCTCTCTTGTACATTGATTTATCCTCCTATGGGTGTATACTCAAGAGTGGTATGGTGGGGTGATAAACACATCTATTTTTAGTTTTTTGAGGAACCTCTGTATTTATTTTCATAGTGATTGCACAAGTTTACATTCCCAACAGCAGTATAAGACGGTTCCTTTTTCCTTGCATCCCTGCCAGCATTTGTTGTTTGTTTTCTTGATGATTACCAATCTGACTAGGATGAGATATAATCTTAGTGTAGTTTTGATTTGCATTTCCTTTATGAATAAGGATATTGAACATTTCTTCATGTGTTTATTAGTGATATGAGTTCCTTCTGAGAATTGTCTATCCAGTTCATTTGCCCATTTGTTAATTAGATTATTTGGGGTTTTTTTACTGTTTCTTTTTTTGAGCTTTTGTATATTCTGGATATTGATCCTTTATATGGCAAATAGCTGATGAAGATTTTCTCCCATCCTGTGGGGTGTCTCTTGATTCTGGTAACAATTTCCTTGAATGTGAACAAGATTTTCAATTTGATGCAGTCCCATTTGTCAGTTCTTGCCCTTGTTTTCTGGTTAATTGGTGTTATATTCAGAAAACAATTACTGAGGCCTAGATCTTCCAGAGTTTTTCTTTTTCCCTTATCGAAGTTTCAGGTCTTACATTAAGGTCTTTGATCAACTTGGAGTTGATTTTTTTTCCTTTATTCACGTATTCATATGTGCATACCTTGCTTGGGTCATTTCTCCCCCCTGCCCGGCGCCCCTTCCCTCTGTCCCCCACCCCCCTCGCTTCCAGGCAGAACCTGTTCTGCCCTTTTCTCCAATTTTGTTGAAGAGAAGACATAATCAGTAATAAAAAAGACAAAGCGTTTTTGCTAGTTGAGATAAAGGTAGCTATACAGAGAGATTCCTAGTATTGCTTCCATTCACAAGTGTATTATTACAAGCCGAATTGGTTCATCTCTACCTGACCTCTTCACTATTTCCTGGTCACCTTCCCCTATTGACCTCTGTCGCTTTAAGGTTACTGTATTAGCTCCTCTGCAGTGGACACATCAAAAACTTTCAAGTTTTGAGTTTCCTACCTATCCCCATTCCTCCTGTATGTGCTCTCCCCTTACCGTGTGACCCAAGTCAAACAACATTACTGCCTTTGCCCTAGATCTAAAGTCTGCCTATGAGGAAGAATATACAATTTTTGGCTTTCTGAGCCTGGCTAACCTCGCTCAGGATGATGTTCTCCAGTTTCATCCATTTACTTGTGAATGATGAGATTTCATTCTTCTTCATGACTGAGTAAAATTCCTTTGTGTATAAATACCACATTTTCTTAATCCATTCCTCAGTAGTGGGACATCTTGGCTGTTTCCGTAACTTGGCTATTGTGAATAGCACTGCAATAAACATGGGTGTGCAGGTGCCTCTGGAGTAACCTGAGTTGCATTCCTTTGTGTATATCCCAAGGAGTGGGATTGCTGGATCATATGGCAGATTTATGTTTAG